GAGAAATCCATTTGTTGTTCCACAAATTTATGCATTCGTTGGTTGAGTGTTTTTGTTTGTTTGTTTGTTTGTTTGTTTTTGGTAATCCTCACATGAGGATATTTTTTCCATTGACTTTTAGAAAGAGTGGAAAGAAGGAAGAGAGGAGGGGGAGAGAAACATCAATGTGAGAGAGACACATTGGTTGCCTCCCGCACACGCCCGACTGGGACTAGGCAACAAGCCTGCAAACCAGGTTCATGCCCTTGACCAGTAATCAAACCCGAGATCTTTGGAAGCGGGTGGATGCTCTAACCACTGAGAGACACTGGTCAGGGCTCACTGGTTGATCCTTATATGTGCCCCAACCAGAGATTAAACCCACAATCTTGGTGTGTAGGGATGACGTTCTAATCTGGCCAGGGCCAAGGTCAAAATAAAACATTTTAAATTAAAAGTACAAAGAGGCGCCCTAGGCTGGTTTGGCTCAGTGGATAGAGCGTTGGCCTCGGACTGAAGGGTCCCGGATTTGATTCTGTTCAAGGGCACATGCCCAGGTTGCAGGCTCGATTCCCCAGTAAAGGGTATGCAGTAAAGGGTGTGTGATGTTTCTATATCTCTCTCCCTCTCCCTTCCTCTATGAAATCAATAAAAGTATATTTAAAATCATTTATGGACTATAATGAACAACATAAACTGATGAACAAAAACAGATCCAGAGACAGAGAAGCATCGATCAGACCATCAAACCTCAGAGGGAAGGTAGGGGAGGGTGGGGGGAACGGGGAGAGATCAACCAAAGGACTTATATGCAAGCATATAGACCTAACCAATGGACACAGACAACAGGGGGATGAGGGCATGAGTGGGGGGATGGGGGGTAATGTGGGGATAAGGACACATATGTAATAACTTAATCAATAAAAAAAATTTAAAAAAAAGAAAAGGAAAAAGAGACTCACTACAAAGCATCTCTCTTATCCCCTGACTCCAGTTATCCAGTTTCTCTCTCTGGAGGCAACCAATGTTACTAGATTTGTATGTAAGCTTCCAGAGATATTTTAGACATATATAATTTTTGTGTATCAATTTCTTTTATTTTAATACAAAATATAACAAGTAAACACATTCTTCTACACCAGTGATGGCGAACCTTTTGAGCTCGGCGTGTCCGCATTTTGAAAAACCCTAACTTAACTCTGGTGCCGTGTCACATATAGAAATTTTTTGATATTTGCAACCATAGTAAAACAAAGACTTATATTTTTGGTATTTATTTTATATATTTAAATGCCATTTTACAAAGAAAAATTAACCAAAAAAATGAGTTCGCGTGTCACCTCTGACACGCACGTCATAGGTTCGCCATCACTGTTCTACATCTTACTTTCTTTTTAACCTAACAATGTATTTTAGGAGGTTTTCTTCATAACAAAGAACATTCTTTTTTTAGGGCTGATGCTAACCCATTATATGCTTATCTCATAATTTACTTGCACTGTCCCCTATTAATGGACATTTGTTTAGGTTATTTCTAATTTCTTGCTATTCCAAAAACATAAGACTGAATTACATAAGTAATTTCATATATGTATGCATGTTTGAGAGCACCTGCAGATAAAACCCCAGGAATTGTGTCAGATGGCATGTGCACTTATTCATTAGTAATTGCCACTGACAGATGTTTAACCCCACGGATAATAGATGAGAATTCCTAATGTTGGTTTCCCCACAGTGATAGCACATGGATAGTCACCATGAAATGTATTATCACACCTTCTTATCTTTGCTAATCTAATAGATGAAAATGGTATCTCCAAGTAGTGCTAATTTATCATGAGTTTGTGTCTTTCCTTAAGTATAATGGTGTGATGGTCTGAATGTTTGTGTCCTTAACCCCCCTGCCCCCCCAAATTCATAGTGTAACCCCCAAGGTGATGGCATGCGATGGGACCTTTGCAAGGTGATTAGCTCACGAGGGTGGAGCCCTCATGACTGGTTTGGTGGCCTTATAAAAGAGATCCCAGAGGACAGAACAAGAAGGCTCCATCTCTGAACCAGGAAGTGGGCTCTCACCAGATACAGAATCTTGGGTTTCCCAGTCTTCAGAACCATAAAAAAAAATTTCTGTAATTGCTAAGGCAGCCAGGTATTTTATTACAGCAATTCCAAGACAAATGGTTATATTATTTATATTTCATGTCTTGTCTTTATCTGTACTACCTACCTACCTGACTACCTTTTAAGACCCAGTTCAAATACGACCTCCTTTATGACTTTAGGTAGGTAAATGAGATATTAGATAATTATGTAAACTGTAACATATAGGTAAGGAATAAGGTATTATTATGAAACTGAGCCTCAGAGCCTTCCTGCTCTCTACTCAGTCATGACCGCTATCTCTCTCTCACCTCCCCTCTTACCTCCCTCATATCTAGCAAATTAGTCCCTCAGTCATTAGTATTGCCAGAATTCTCAAGGGCTTTAAAAAACACCTCACCGTAATTGAGAGAAACAAGTCAGTTTGTATTAATAAATAGGATGCTACCAATTCCTTCTCTACCAGAATCTGTGATCTTTCTTGTATTTGAGATTTTAAAGTAATGGAGGGAAATTTCATTTACTTCAAAAGTCATTTATCCAGCCCCTATAAGGTATCACATTGATAGTGAACAAAACCCATACCCTGCCAATATCTTAGGCCAGCAATCACCATTTATTATCTGGACTACTCTAAAGCCTCATGGAGCTTAGTCTTGCCTGCCTCTGTGCCACTTTCTATACAACTGCCAAGGGTTAGTTCTTAATTTTTAAAAAAATATATTTTATTGATTCCAGAGAGGAAGGGAAAGGGAGAGACAGAAACTTCAATGATGAGAGAGAATCATCAATTGGCTGCCTCCTATACAGTCCCCACTGGGGATCAAGCCTGCAACCTGGGCATGTGCCCTGAACGGAGATCGATCCCATGACCTCCTGGTTCATAAGTCAACACTCAACCACTGAGCCACGCCAGCCAGGCCAAGTGTTATTTCTTAAAAACAAGCCTGATTATGTTGCTTCTTCTGTCATTTCCCACTGTCCTCAAAATAGTCAACCACAGGAGGTATGCCTGGCCTTTCAGGACTTGTCATGGCCCAAAAAGTCTACTCTCTCATCCCTTGCCATTCTGCTCTCATTTGCAGCCCTCCATCTACACTACTTTTCAAGGAACACTTTGCAGTTTCCCAGAAACCTCCTCACAGATATTCAAGCTGGTGCCTTTGGCCACTCTACCGGCTTCTAAAACTGGCCAACTCTTTCAAGACAACTCCCTATATAGCCGTTTAAGAGGATTACATGATCCCAAATATGTATTAGGTGCTCCTTCTATGTTCACTCCCAATATTTGGAAATAGTTACACTGTATTTTTTTCTAAATTTCTGATTATAAAAAACATGTTTACTGAAATTAATTTCAAAAAGTATATGATTAAACAATAGATCACCAACTCCACCAGATAGTCACTACTAAAATTTTTATGTATCTCTATTCTATCTCCATGTATATAGCTCTACGTTCATAATACACACTGATTTATAACACTTTCTTAATACTATATCCAGGTGGATACACATTGATTTAAATCATTCCTTTTTGTTTTTTCATCCTCACCCAAGAATATGTTTTTATAGAGGCCTGGTGCACGAAATTTATGCACTGGAGGGGGGTGTCCCTCGGCCTGGCCTGCACCCTCTCCCAGTCGGGGTCAGCAGTCAGACATCACTCTGCAGTCGGGGACACCTCGCTCCTTACGGCCAACCTGCAGCAGAGGCAGGAGACTCCCACCACTACTGCTACGCTTGTCAGCGAGGCTCCCGCTGTGCTCACCAGCCATGACCTCAGCTTCTGGCTGAGCAGCACTCCCCCTATGGGAGCGCACTGACCACCAGCGGGCAGCTCCTGTGTTGAGCTTCTGGCCCTTGGTGTTTGTCATAGCCACTGGACATCCTGTTTGGTCAATTTGCATATTAGGGTTTTATTATATAGGATTGATTGGAGGGGGGGGCAGGAGGGAGAGAGGGAGAGAGAGAGAGAGAGAGAGAGAGAGAGAGAGAGGAGAGAGAACACGCAAGCTCCATTAGTTGCCTCCAGTAGATGCCCCCACCAGGGATTGAACCCAAAATCTAGATATGTGCCCTAACCAGGAATCCAACCCGCAATCCTTTTGGGGTATGGGACTACGCTTCAACCAAGCCACCCGGCCAGGGCTCAATCACCGTTTTTGTTGGCTAGACTAGTCTTCCCTGTATGAGAGGACCAGCGTAACTCTATTGGTGGGCCTTCACGTTTCCTTTTGGTCATTATATCCTAATCTTAGTTGTATCCTAACATTTTTTAGAGGCCCTTGAGCTATCATTCATTTTAAAATTCCCAGTGCCTGGCATGCAATGTTTATAAAATGAGCTTCATTAAAGAATAAACTTAACTTTCAGGTTAACATTGGGAGCAAATAATCTGTTTTCTACAAGCATCAAGTACAGTGCATTATTTTCTTAATCGCTGCCAACAGTCTGTTGAATTAACCTATTAATCAAAAAGTGGTATAGCTGCCTTAAATTATTCCTCAAGAGTGGCAGGACAAGTGCAAACAAGACACAATACAACGCTATTGTGTTTGTATAAGAGACAGCAGCTGGCGTCCCTTCCCGCAGGCGCAGGAAGAAAGCGCACAACGACCTTGAGACTCCGGCGCGCAGGCAGCCGGGGCTCCTAAGGAGCTCCCACAACCAAGTGGCGACAAAAGCCGCTGGCTCTACGGCGGAGGCCCGCGGGCTGCGCTCCCCTCGGCCGGGACGAGCCCTCAGCTCTTCTTCCCCGCCTCTGGGAAGGGGAGGGCGAAAGCGAGACCGGGCAGTGGGCACGGGTCTCGTCCAGAACCCGAGCGGAGCCCAGCGCCTGCCTGCAGCCCTCTCCGCGCCTGCGCACAGCAGCGGGTCCGCCCGCTGGGCGCGTGCGGGGGACCTCGGCACGTACTCACCCGCCGACGGGGTTAAACGAGAACAGTCAGCCTGTGTACCCCGAAACCTAGATGTACATACTCCTAAAGAACGGCTCCCGCAGGAGCTCAGCTTGCGCACTACCCACATCGCGACAGAGGATCCACGTCTTTTCCGGTCCCTCTGGTAAAAGATCCCCAGCAGAAAGGTTCCGGGATCACTCTCGCGCAGTCAGGAGTCCATCTAATCACGGTTGCACTTAGTGGATGTTTTATATACATAGCTATAGTTATTCACCCTCAACGTGTCAGATTGTGTGTGCAATTAAAGTATAGAATGTTTCTATTATCACAAACGAACTTAAAGATCCTTCTATTATGCCTATCCTATATGACATCATGGCCAAAGTAGCCATCAATCATGTTACTGCTTCCTGCTACGTCCTAGCCTTTCTTTTATTCCCTGGTAGCTCTATTTCATATTTAACAGATGTCTCCTAGGGAATTTATACTCCTGTTAGACACTCTTAGAATCTTAAAAGCATGGAAACTCTTCTCTAAAGAAAGAATTGTCAAGGTCAATGTCAGAGGGCCAAAAGTCTAAACCGAGTATTCTCTGCAAGTGACCTGACACTATTCTGGAAGGGCATACATTATATAGCAGGAGACTGTTAATTACCAAGGCTAGGCAAACTTCATTTAGAGCAAGAATGGTGATTTATAACATTTTACTTCTAAATATATAAAAGCCTTTCCTTGGGTAAGAAAAATAAATTTCCAGCATTAAAGGTAAAAAAAAGTCATTGTACATTTTCAAAGTTTTTTGAATTAGTAAAACTTACATAGTTCAATAATGGCCTTTCACTTACGGCTTCTTAGTAAAATATTGACCTCATTCTAAGAGTGGTTGTGGACCTCGGCCATCTCTTCAAAGCTCCTCTCTCAAGATGGCAGAAAGCTCTGCATAAAAGACCCTTGACCCTTTTGCATGTGTTAAATATTTGCTGGTGAGTAACAGATTCAAGAAAAAAAGCAAAGTGTATGATTAAGTTCTAAGAGCTTTATTTAAATGTACTTGCTTTGAATGTACCACCTCACTGAGCTTTAGAGCCTTCCCACATTTTCAGTTCAACAAAGGCAATCAGTAATTTGTTTTACTATCGAGAGGAAACAAAAGCTTCTTGAATACCCGCTAGTTTGACTCAATAAGCAAAACTAGCTCATATGGTTTTTCTCTACAAATGCAAAAGGCTTTCCCAGACACCTAAACCCGAGTTGTTTTGAAAAGATTTGCAGTTGTTATATGGTATATAGCCATTGTTGGAGTTAACCACCAGAGCATCACTATGGTATCGCCCATAAATGTGTTGTCAACTAGTCTACAATTTTACTATAAAAATAAAAATCTTTAATAATTTTGAAATTCAATTTTATATAAACTCTTTTCATTCAAGTTAAAGGTAATGTGCTCCCTTACAGCTAAGTTTTATTCCTTTAAAATGATATACTACTATATCCACTCAGAGTTTAATGTAAATTTTCACATAAATTGGTTAACTAGAATTATTAGAATTTTAACTTACCATAATCAGAATATGGCAGATTTAACCTATGTGTGTTTAGAGAACACTATACCTGATAAACTTTTATGGTATAAATGTAACTCGACATCCCATGTTAGCCCTGGCTGTGTAGTTCAGTGGATAGAGCTTCAGCCTGCACACGGAAGGGTCTCAGAGGGGTCTTGGGTATGATTCCTGGTCAAGGGCACGTACCTCGGTTGTGGGTTTAATCCCAGTCGGGCGCATTGAGAGGCAAGCAATTGATGTTGATTTTTCTCTCTGTCTCCTTCTCTTCCCCCTCCCTACCACTCTGTCTGAAAATCAACGGAAAAAGTATCCTCGGGTGAGGATTTTAAAAAATTAAAGATAAAAGTAGCATGAGTTATTTTAGGACTAATAAGAAGCCTATTTTCTCATTTAGGTTTAGACTTTACAACCAAATTCTACTTAATATTGAAGAACTTAAGGGCTTTAAGTGTTAAAGATCTTGGAAATAATCTAATTCCACCCTTATGTAGTTGAAGAAATTAAGGTCCATAATGATTAAGTGATTTGTCCGAAATACATCAAGTATTAGAATGAGGACAATCCAATAGATCGCTATTTCCATTAAACCATGATTAGTAGACCATTTTAGAAACTTCGGTAAATTAAAATAGATTTTAATATATGTAACAGAAGAAAAACTCAGTTTAAGTGAAAAGATTTCCAGAAGACAATATTATAGGAACTTTATAACTTACATAATTCCTATGTAAAAAGAAACTATGTTTGTGAAATTCACCTATTGTATATTAGAAAGATGCTAAAAAAGAAATTTTACAATGGCAGAAAACATACACTGAGATTCCACACCAATTTTTATTTAGATTTTGGGGCCTGAAACAAATCTTAAAATTACTTCTTCCAAATTACATTTTATGCTCTTAATGGTGTGGTTTACCCCCATTCCACAAGAACAAATATGATGAATACACTAGAAATTTTTTTAAAACCTCTTAAGACAGTTTTTATTAACCAATTCAGACCAATGATTGTCTCAAAAACTGAATCTATTAATTTTCTGGTGGTGTCATTTAGATGATTTCATAATTAAGTTATACATTTAATGAACTTATGTGTAAGTTTTAGCATTCACATCCCAAATCATGGAAGACCTATTTTATAAAATCTTACCATTCAAGGTAAACATACTTCATTACATGTCAATGAAATGAATTCTCTAAATTATCCATTAAAAAAAATATCTATAACACTAATGTGTCTACTAATAATCACACACATCATGACTGTGTTTTTAAAAATATCTACAGATTTAATAAGAGGCTTGCATATTATGGCAGAGTAAATAAAGCTTTCAAATACTGCTTTTGGCTCTAGTTCATATCTTGCCCAAAAATGTGCATATCATAGCCAGCAGAACTTTTCCGTAGAATTTTATTTTGAAAATATTATTTCACTTGAAGATTGATCTAAAAAACATTTTAAGATATGAAAATGTTATACAACTTATCTATTACAAATTAATTGAGTAATTCTACAATTAGGTATACCATGTTAGCTCACCTACATAAAAAATATTGCACACTTTCCTTTATTTTGTCTCCAGATGTGACTGATGTCTAAACTATATAGAATTCTAAACTATTTAAAAGTTATTCTGTGAAATGTCAACTTCATAAATATCAGAACTGAATGCACTGTAAAACAACCATTTTGGTAAACATGCATTTATTCACAGTTGATTTATTTCCTCTAGATAAATGCATAACTGCTCAAAATTATTTAAGAACTATGTAGAGGTAACAAGAGCACACTATACAAATCTATTTCCATCTTCGTTTTGAGGAAATACTGATCTTGGCAAAATTCTGGCTTATTTTAAAATTAACTATTGCTGGTAAAAAGGCATACTTTAAAACATTTCTGTGACCTGCACCTGCTCTTTTTAAATTAAAATTTAAAAGCGTTTGTTTTTAGAGACTTATCTGATTATTGTGGCATAAGTGAATAATCACATAAAAATGAACCCTGAAAGCAGCTGAGCATTAAAATGCCTGTAGAGCCTTCATTTTACTCATAAGTTATAACTGCCTTAAATTGCTAGACCACTCACTGAGCCTAATTTTAAGAAACTAACAAAACAAAACCATTTCAAATTATGAGACTGACACAGCCTGCATAATACAGCATTTCTCCACTGAGCTGGTCATATACTTTAAAAAAATATAAATAAATATATTGAATTGTGAGTTTTATTTCTGTAATAACCCCAAAGTGTTTCAAATACACTTCTAAAACAGAAGTGGGTAACTGCAGAATATAGTTCCAGACTTGACTAATAGAGTCAAACACAATCATTCCTTATAATAACTCCAATTGGTACACTGGCTTGACTGAATCCAGCAATTTCATTTTACAGGAGTGAACCATACTTTATACACAGAGAATATATTACTTGAAAATCCCCTAAATAGGAAAAGTTTAGAAAGCTGTCTAATGATTCCAAATTAAAAGTAAATGTCTGTTTCTGGCCCTCTTCCACACCCTTAAAGTTGGAATTTGACAAAAATCCATGGGTACAAATTTACAAACTTTGACAGACTATTGAGATAAAACCATTTTCTTTGGGGGATATGGGAGGAAGTACCTTTAAAACTTGTTATACAAAGTTCCAGCTGCCTTTTTATAAAAGTACGTTCCTTAGATTAAAATCATAAAATTAAGGTGCAAGAGGTTAACAAAAATGAACTAAAGAGCTTTATTGACATCACAGTACATTCAAGAATAATTTTAAGAATATTACAGCTGAAAGAGAATGGCATGTTTATAGTCTTATTGTGCACTATTTTTTTGAAAAAAAAAAAAAAGTAATACAAAGAAATCCTATTAACGGAGCAGCATTTGGAAAAAGTACACCTATTTACAGATTAAAAAAAAAAATTCTGGTTTCACCTACACAGCCACAATGTGCCTCTATAATGAGACAAGCCCTTAAAACTCATGGAATTTTTTAAACATCATGGCATTCTTGCCACATCATTCCTCAGCGTTTACGACGGAGAGGGGTTGTTGATCTGAAAAAAAGGGAAAGACAAAATTTAAAAATAAAAATGTATTTTAAACTAAAGAATCTGTCATTTTTAAATAACTAATATTATATTTCTAAAATTATTTAAGACTATGATCATTTATCAAGTACCAATCTGAGTTTATTAAAGAGAGAGAGAAAGGACACTTTCAAGTTTGAATAAATTCAGTCAAATTTTTAAAAAAATCAGACAAAATACTTTAAAAAGTATACTACCTTGATCGGGACTTAGACTTGTGTTTGCGGCTTGCCTTCTTACCAGACCTTTGAGATTTCTCCATGGATCGCGATCGACTATGTTTAGGCTTCTTAGCCTTCTTTTCTTTGCTACTTCCTGGAGATTCAGAACTGCTCCTTCCACTAGAATCAGAGCCTGAATGTTTTTTACTATCTTTGGTAGTACTTTTCTTACTATCCTGTCTAGAATCATGTCTGATGATTTTAACAGATATAGAACCACTCCTAGAGAAAGTTCTTTCACTTTCTCGTTTCCTTTTTAACCTATCATCCTGACCACTGAACTTAAAATCTTTTTCTTCCCTTTTTTGTTTCTCTTTTCTTTTATCCTGTTCACGCTCTCTTTCTTTGTCTTTCTTTTTCCTATCTTTATCTATACTTCGACTTCTCTCTTTTTTCCTCTCTTGTTCTTTAGCCTCACCTTTATGTTTATGACTGCTCCCACTAAGATTTCCACGTTGGTCATCAATTTTACGTCTATCTCGACTCCTACTGCGACTGGACCGATTGGTTCGCCTATCCCTTGAGCGACTTCTACTTCTACGTCTCTCTCGGGAAGGACTCCGATTTCTTCGTCTTTCTCTTTCAATGCTATTTCTATTAGATCTTCTCCTTTCTCTAATCTTTACCCTAGCCCTATTGCTGTCTATTTTAATTCTGCGAGAATAACTTCTACTCCTACTACGTCTAGCTTTAATTGTTGGAGATCTACTCCTACTATGTCTCTTTTTCCTTTTAGGAGAAGAAGATCGAGAAGATGTGCGACTACTACCTGAGCTAGAACTGTATGAAGAACTAGAGACAGTACTACTAGTACTACTAGTTCTGCTATTGCTACTGGAACTACCACTACTAGAACTTTCTGATCTACTCCTTCCTTGTTTCTCTTTTTCTTTATGATCTTTTTTTGGTTCTAAAACTGATGTAGTTTCATTTGGAGTTCTTTTCTTTTCATTAACCACATCACCATCTGTTTCTCTTGCTTCTAGTAATGATAAACTATTTTGCTCTTTATGGATAAATTCATTCATCTCTTTTGTAACCCTTTCAGTTTGTTGCTTTTCTTCTGAAACAGAAAAAAGACAAAAATATTAAGTCAAATGTACAATGAAAAACTCCCATTATTACCAGACTATAACAATAGAGCAAGACATAACAACAAAACGACATACGTTGAGCCTGATGTAACCCGAGGACTGTCTGTACTCATTAATTTATATAAAAAACTTCTAAAAAGTCCTCTATTATCCTAGCTACAAATTACTTTTCAATAGTTTTACAAATATATTTCCCCCATTTCAAAACTCTTTTTAAAAGAACTTTAATAAGAAATGAAAATACACTGAAATGGCTTAACTTATAGCCCCTGAAATTAATCTCTCCCCAGATAAAAGTTTACCTTTCCTAAACTATATATTTTCAATACTACAATTAACTTTGAGTTTACATTTGATAAAAATTACAAATAAGCCAAAATCCTTAGTTTCAGTTACGACTCACTTATTAGTTTCAGTTACAACTCATTTATTATTTTTAATGTAGCCTCAATTCCATCCTTTGATACTTTAGGTTGTTTGAAAAATGTAAAGAAACACAAACAAAACTGGACAAAATTAAGTGATGTAAAAGTTTATACCTTCCATCTGTTTATCATGTAACAGCTGCTGTTCTTTTTCTTTTCTCCAAAAAGCTTCCTGTTTTTGCCGGATTCGGTGCCGTAATTCCTCATCGTCAGTGTCAGATGACTCAGAGCCTCTGTCACTCCTTTCATCTTCACTGTCTCCTGATCCATAACCACCCAGTCCACCTGTGTGCATAAAGCCCAGTCCATCATATGGAAAAAATATTCTGTGCACTAATAACTTTTTAAGGTCCAAGAAGAAAGCTCATTTCTTTTTTACATTGCATTTTGTTGGAAGAATCTACTTATTCGGGGTGGGGAGAAGTATAAATTCCAATGCTTAAGAAGTTCATAGGAACCCTCATGAAAATTGATACTTAGTAACTTATTCTTTCTGGAATATTTCATATATTTGTCACCATAAATTAATCGTGATAATGGTTTGTTTTACTGTCCATGCTAACCAATAAAACCATTTAACAGGGTAGTAACAAAGTCTCACACTAAAGCATAATCAATTCAACTACCTTAAAATTTATGATGATCCTAAAAATAGTTCTACAATTAACTTTTTCATTGTTCAAAGCTTAGAAATCCCCAGGTAGTATGCTAAGTATTTTTCCCCTAAAAAAATTAGAGTACTGTAATTCTGACTGTGCAGAAATGGTATGATGCTAAAACTACTCCCCACCCTGAAGTGATCTAAATAGTAATAACAAAATCACATGGGCATTTGGTTCTAGCCATTTTTGTTGATCCTCACAAAGATTAATTTTTGAAATAATGTGGAAAAGGCAAATTCAAGCTTTTATATACTTGATAATATAACATGCAAATAGAAAATTATGAATACATCACTAATATGGTAATGTAAGATAAACCCTTTCCTCTATGGTAAACCTAACTTGCTGCAACACAATCTAAATAAAGGTCCTTAAAACCATTAGTGGATAGGTTCCTCTCTCAGGCAACAATTTTGAAAGTGAGCTTAAATATTAGCATGGCTAAATTATAACTATTACAACTTGCCTTATTAACTATGAATTAGTCACCACATCTACAATAATCCCACTGTGAATGCTTTGGTAAAAAAAAAAAAAAAAAAAAAAGAAAGAAAGAAAAAAGGCAAACCTTTTAGAGACTGATACAACCCTAAGATCTCAGGTTTTATAAACTGAGTAGGAACAGTATAGTTTCAAAGTAGAACATGTAGAGACAAGGTAAGCGTGATTTTTCCCTTTAAGGCCCTCTTACAAATAAGGAGAACACTTACCGAGTCCAGTGAGGGAAGCCAGTGCACTGGACTGTGCCAGCTGTTTTGCAGGAGCTTTGTATCACATCAACAACAGGAACAACATGTTAACACAAATAGCCACGATTTCATAGTCATGAGAGTCTATGGTATTGTTAAATCTACTACTATTGCTGCTTCTTGGGGAGAGAAGAAACATTAAAAACATAACATTCATTTTAAACCAGTCTGGCCTTGAAAAGTATAATTCTGATGTGAGTTGAAATTGGTTTATAATGAGGAAAAATGTTGACAGCATATCGGTATTTTTATTTTTGAGGTATGGCCCATAATTTAAATTTTGCTTTCAGTATATTTTTTTAAGTGTTACCAAATATACGAGGGCTAGGTGGGAGAATCACTAGCTCTGTAAGAATTATAAGTGGTAAACTGTGAAAACTCTGAAGGTTCCTAATTCAATTCATTAGTAAAACTAAATTGCATTAGAAATCATATGCCAATAACATGGTATCTATAAAAAAAAAATCAAGTGAAATAAACTGATCATCATCAAGAATTTTCCACAATACATTTTATAGAACAACAGTGTAATTATGAATTTGTGCTCAGAGAGGTTGGACAAAACAAAAATATCTGTATAGTTGTAATATGGTGTCTATAAATCTGAACTTTCCAAAAGAGTAAAACATGCAAGAAGAGAATATTCAAATATCTGCTACTATTTCAACAAGGACAACAAAAAAAGTCCAGAATAGCCACCAAAACCATAACACCCCCAGAAAAACAAAGCCAAGAACACCCACAATATACCTTTTGTTGCTTTCCGGTGTGCATCTTTGGCTACATAATAAATTTCTTCATCTGTGACATCCAGTAGAATTTCAGTCAAAAGCATTTTTGTCAATAACATCTAAGGAATATATATTGTTTCTAATTAAATTATTATAGTTACTAATAATACAGTTTAACATTTTCAAAAATTTAAAAGGCAAAACTTTAGGGGGTTGGGGGAGCATTGGGGGGATAAGGCCACATCTGTAAGACCTTAATCAATAAAGAAAAAAAATTAGCCTGTACTAGTGAAAAAAAAGGCAAAGCTTAATTTTATAAAACATTTCAGATCAGTCATTCCAATGAACAGAATATCTTAAAAATAATTCTAAATTATAAGAATTTTAAAAAATTTCAAAATCATGAATTAAAGAAATAAATGTTTATTTCTATCGAGACACTGAATTCTAATTCTAGAGACCCTTTGCCCCCTATAGTAAAACATTGTTTAATTACAACAGTGGTATAAGGAAATGTGCTTAGTAATTCCTTTATAAGCTGTGATTTCATATTAGGTGTTACCTGGATTTTGCAGACATTATTATTGCCCAGGAAATCTATATATCAATACATACTTTATACTTGTTTCATGAATTCTCAGTTTAAATGTTTAAGATACCAACCAATAGTTTTTAAAAATTATACCAGGTGTACCAGTTAATGATGTGGATTTTGTAATCAAAGAAAACACGATAATTTCAAGAGAAACATCAAAAGTGCTTTATTCAAAGTAATGTCCATCGCTAGCTACACATTTCCCCATCTTTCAGGTAATTTGTGGATACTGTCCCAATAGAACTTTTCTTGTTTTGAGGCAAACCATTCAGAGACCCAATTATCCACTTCTTCGTACATTTTGAAGTGCTGCTCAGAAAGTGCATGTGCCATTGATCAGAACAAGTGGTAATCTGAAGGAGCAAGGTCTGGTGAATACAGCAGGTGGGTTAATACTTCCCAGGCAAGATCTTTTGACGTGTCTTTAACTGGTTTTGAAGTGTGTGATGGTGCGTTATCATAAAGCAAAATTACTTTGCCGTGTCTTCTGGCACATTCTGGTCATTTCATGATCAAAGTGTGGTTCAAATTGATTATTTATTGTCGGTAGCGATCAGTATTAAAGGTTTTACCTGGTTTTAGAAGCTCATAATACACCACACCTTCCTGATCCCATCAAACGCAGAGCATTGTCTTTCCGAAGAGATCTGGCCTTGCAGTCGATGTTGATAGTTGACCTTGATCAACCCATGTTTCTGTGCATTTGGGATTCTCAAAATAAATCCATTTTTCATTGTCAGTCACAATTTGATGCAAAAAAGACTTTCTTTCGTGCTGTTGAAGCAACATTTTACTAATGACTTTTCAGTTTTCCATTTGTCTTTTGTTCAGTTGATGTGGCACCTTTTCCTTCCTTTAAAACAGTGGTTCTCAACCTTCTGGCCCTTTAAATACAGTTCCTCATGTTGTGACCCAACCATACAATTATTTTTGTTGCTACTTCATAACTGTAATGTTGCTACTATCTGATATGCAGGATGGTCTTAGGCGACCCTGTGAAAGGGTCGTTCAACTGCCAAAGGGGTCTCAACCCACAGGTTGAGAATCGCTGCTTTAAAATCTTTCCCATTGCTTGTAAACGATCGGAAATTGTTTGCTGAGAAACGTTTAATCTTTCTGCAAGTTGTTTTGAGTTTTGACACGCCTCTTCATCCAATAATGCTTGTAATTGTTGGTCTTCAAATTTTTTCGGTTGACCTGGACATTCTTTGTCTTTCACATCAAAATCATCACTTTTAAAGTGTTTAAACCAGCGTTCACAAGTATCTTGAGATGGAACATGTTTACCATAAGCTTCCTGAAGTATAAGATAACTTTTTCTTCAAAATAATTAATTAAACTTCCCGCAAATGCTCCTTTTTTGGCACAAAATTTGACGTTTTTAAGCATAAAAATATCTATGATGTTAACACCTTCAGCAAATTTGACAAATGAAGTTTTGAAGCTTGCTGTCAATACAACAAAATAGCATACATATCAAATCACATATATATCAACATATGTGTAACTCCATCTATTAAAAAAAATCCGCATTATTAACCGGTACACCTGGTAAACAAAATAAATCCTATAATATGTTATATGTCAATTATACCTCAAAACAATTTTAATAAAAAAATAAATTTATATTTTTACCATTTGATACTCTTTCTCTTCTTCAGTCATCTCTGGTTCACTTTGCTCTTCTTGAGGAACTGGAGATGGACTTCTGGTGACTTTTCCACTGCTTGCAGCCTCAACATTTTCAGCATCTTCATCTTCCTCATCACTATCCTAAAAAAGTAATACTATGTGTAGCCCAAATTCATGCTATAATCAATTATTATCTTGAACATTCTATTTTAAAACCCTAAGTTAAAAAGTGTATGAGATAGCCCTGGCCGGTTTTCTCGATGATTAGAGCATCGGTCTGTGGACCAAAGGGTCTCAGATTCTATTTCCAGTAAAGGGCATGTACCTTGTTTGCAGGCTCAATCCCCTGGGTCAGGACGTGTGCAAGAGGCAACCAGTAGATGTGTCTATCTCACATCAATATTTCTCTCTCTCCCCCTTCACTCTCTAAAAATTAATGGAAAAAATATCCTTGGGTCAGGATTTTTAAAAAAACGTATATGAGTCCTAGTTAGTTTGGCTCAGTGGACATTGCATCAGCCCATGGAATGAAGGGTCCCAGGTTCAATTCCGATGAAGGACATATACCTTGGTTGTAGGCTCGATCCCCGGCCCGACCAGGGCACGTGCAGTAGACAACCAATTGATGTGTCTCTTACATCGATGTTTCTCTGTCTCTCCCGCTCCCTTCCACTCTCAAAAAAAAAAGAAAGGAAAAAATATCCTTGGGTGAAGATTAACCAAAAAAAAAGTGTATGAAAGAGATCTATGAAAATAAAATTTCTCTCTAAATTATATTTTTGCATGATAAATTTCATTTGGTAATTTAGTGTTACCTGAGAGGAAATGTGATTGATTATAAGGTGGTTTAAAATTATTTTAATTATTTTATTAAATTTGCTTATTTTTCTTAGTCAATTTTTTTATTGATTTTAGAGAAAGACAGGAAGGGGAAGAATAGAGAGAAACATCAGTGAGAGAGAAACATCAATCAGCCTCTGCCGCACACTCCCTATTAGTTAGTGACTGAGCCAGCAGCCTGGGCATATGCCTATACCAGCAATGGATGGGTTGATGTTCAGCCACTGAACCACACCGGCTAGACAATTTTTTTTTAAATCCTCACCTGAGGATATGATTTTAGAGAGAGAGGGAGAAAAAAAGATCAATGTGAGAGATAAAGACATCAATCTGTTGCCTCCTGTATGCACCCCAAAAGGGGATCGAACCCACCTTTTGATGCATGGGACAATGCTCCAACAACTTAGCCACCAAATCGTAGTCAATTTTGATCTTTCTTTATAAATAACCAAAGCACATCATGCCCAGAGACTGAATTAATACCCAATATATCTGATGGCTGGAATGAGTGGCTTGTAAAACTTCCGGTAAACAAACCACACTCAGATTATTCAGTGTTAGTTTTACAGCAATTAATATAAGCTATTTACCTAAAATCATGTGACTTAAAATGAAAAATCTATAGTCAGTTTCCAGATCTCAGCTGACCCTGAAACTTAGTGAAATTTGCTTCTTTTTAGCTATTTAATGGACAGATAGATGAGAAATAAGGTCTCCTTCAGATGGAAGAAATGCCAGCAGTTGTCTCTGTCACTGTATAGGTGGTAGGTTTTCAATATCTAAACAGTGTATCTTAAAAAGGGGACTCTACTTTAAGCAAAGAACTGTTCCATAGTCACACTCAGTAATCCTACTAAGTAGAAGACAAGATGATCAGCCAAATACTACTATGGAAAGGCCATTTGAACCAGAAGAAGGATTCATGTAACACAAGCCCAAAGGCATCTGTAAGGAGAAGGATAATCTCCAAATCCAAACAATTTTTTGACAGTGAAGAAAACCACCAAGCCTGGCCTGTGTGGCTTAATGGTTGAGCATTGACTTATGAACCAGGAGGTCACAATTCAACCGGTCAGGGCACACGCCTGGGTTGTAGGCTCGATCGTCAATGTGGGGCATGCAGAAGGCAGCCAATCAATGATTCTCTCTCATCATAGATGTTTCTGCCTCTCCCTCTCCCTCCCTCTCTGAAATCAATAAAAATATTTTTTAAAAACAACCAAAATACACCAAGTCTGGAAATCCACTGTTTCATGCAAAGATTTAAAAAACAAATTTTAAGGTCAACTTTTAGTAGTGGTAGTCTGTTGTTTCTTTATTTCATAACATCCAGAACAAAAACACATCTTTGGCATGGTTCTTTTGTAAAAATAAAGAGTAATTTATGGCTTTTTGTTGAATTTAAGCAAAATCAATGTCTTCTTAAGTCTAGTAACCTTGCTGTCGTTGAGATTTATTTTTGAAGCAGAAAATAGCCTTTGGAGGAGGACGCTTTTCCTAAGTGGCATATCAGCCAGTGCTATGACTGTCCTACCAGCTAGGAGAACATTATTGCTAAATAAATAATTCCTACACCACCTACATGATGAAGATTTAAATATTTAAAACAATGCTTCCTTCAGTGCTCATGTCAAAAAACTGTAGAAGTTATTATATCCTCTGTTACAAGTATACATTTAAATGTTCAAAATAGGGGGCAGATTTCTTTCTCTAGTGCTGTTTTAACTAAGTTTTTATTTATAAGCCACCACTGGGGAGTTAGCTATACCACAACAAAAGAATACAAATGTTTGTCAATGTAAGACCTATCTCGCATTTCACTGAAAAATCTCTCCCGAATGAAATGTTTTATAAACTCATTGTACTCTTTCTCCTTGCCCTGCCCTCAATAACACATCTATAATATAAAAAAATAATCCCCAATATACTTACTGAAGGTAATCTCAGTAACATTACTTTAACACTTTTCTATAGGCTAAAATACTTATTTCAATAACCTTTTCACATAGATACCAAACGGAGTTTCAGGTCAAGGAATCTACTCACAAATTTACTTCTCTGAGGTAAACGAGGGCCATCACCTCCTTCAGCATCTTCTGTAGTCTTCTTTTCTTTTTTGGACAACTGTGAACGCTGTTGTTCCATTCTTTCTTTCTCCAACTTCTTTTGCTTTTCACGTTCCATTTTTTCAAGACCTTCCCGAATCCAAGCTGGAAGAGTCCTGCGTTTTACTGCATCTGTTTCACATGGGAAAAAGAAAATTTTTAAGTCAGTTAAGTAAAAATCTAACACATGAGTGCTTTATTCCTGAATTTCTAACTTGTGAATTTCTGGAAAAAGAATACTGGTACCATTTGAGCGTTTATAACAAATACTATCATTTTCCAGCAAGACAGTGCTAATAAAAACAACCCATTAAACATCACACTTTTTTAAAAAAAATCATCACTTTTAATAGCAGCATAAACATTGTATTAATGTTTACAATGTGCCAAGGCATTATGAAAGCACATTAAACCATCACCTCAATCCTAAAAAAAGCCCTAAATGATCACTATTACTTGATCTCTTTTGCAAATGAGAAAACTGAAACTCAGATATTAGGAGGTGTGCTCAAGGTTACAAAGCCAGTAAGCAATGATATGAGCTACTTCAGAGCCAAACTTACATTACATTGCTTCTTAAAATATGAAGACAGAAGAGAGTCAAACACAAGTCCACTTCACACTGAAAATTCACTTATACAAGTATTCCATCCAGGATACTTTTTAATTTATTCCTTAAGTTATAAAAGAAGTAATAATCTTCCTAAAATGTCTACTTTGTGATAAGAAAAAAAAACTTAAATGTTCTGGTCCATTAAGTGCTGGATTTGGATTTCCAGATATATACTAGCATAAATACAATATTTTTCATTGGGAATAAGTTAGTCCTGTTATTTAAGAATTGAAATGTTCTGCAAAATACTATGGAAAGTGAAATAATGAAAGGAAAATTAATCTTACAGCAGTGTATCAGATGAACTGAAAGTGGAAAGAATCCAGAAAGAAAAACTAGAGGCTTTAAAAGGCGAAAATGAAAAACTAGAAAAGGTGAAAATGCTCACATATCGGTATAATGTATCAAATTGTCAACATTAAAAAAAGCAAAATGCTATAGCCATGATAAGTTTATCTCATCACAAAATCTATGTTTAACTTAAAGTTTTATTTTAAAGAAAATTATTCAAAGTATTTAATATTTTATACAAAATCTCCTCTGAAATTTTAAAGTTTTATGACTAAAAAATAATAGGGTTTTAAAGTGTCAATCCTAATATATCAGAGGTATTAGAACAATTTAAGAAAGACATCCTTTTTATATGATCAAGAAATCATGCCAATGTGGTTCACTAAACTTAAATAACTACCAATTTGTGGAGGCTCCTGCTTCACAGGAAGTGCAATAGGTGAACGCTGCCGATCCCTGAATGATGATGGCCTTTCTCTTCGATTCTGGGGAGGTGCTGGAGGTCCTGGAGGTCCTGGTTGCCAATAAGGAGGATGAAATCCACCTTGCGGTGGACCAAAAGCAGCCCCATGCTGAAAGAGTATGGCAGTTTATTTTCCTTCCCGTTAATACAATATACACTCTGGGATACACATGTGTTATGAACTGGGACAGTAGAAATCCATGTGTGCAGAAAATCCAAGAACTCCATCATTCTAATATCCACCGATATTTCTGTAGCCCCAAGAACCTAAGCTTACTTTTCTTAACAGATTTTCTGCCTACATAAATGCGAGAGCCATCTAAAATCCTTCTGATACACTATTTTCAAGTACAGAAAATAATATATATGAACTTTTTCATTCTGAGTCCATTTATAAACTAATCCTTTCACTACCAAGAAACCAAATAAATGTCTATTTTTCTATAACCAGAAAATACAAGAAAAAAATTTTTTAATCAATTCCAACTTCCTATTTCTTGTGAATTTAAGTTGTTTCTAAAACCTTGCAAGAAATATCTATTTTAAGCAAAGATAAAAGTTACTGAATCATTACATTAAACTATTTTTTTTAATTTTACCATTTTCAGAGGCGTTTCTAAGCCATTTGCTGACCTCTTTGTCTCGTTAGCAAGGGGATCTACCAGGCAAATGTGGTAGAAGTAGAAGCTCCCTGCCACAAAAACCTATCATATCTGTATACCAAGTATGAGTATGCAACAAGTATCTGAATATATATGAATAAGATTACTAACTCAAGGTGAATACTGTTTACATTTATGTCTATTAACTATATAGTGATATAATGTATGTTTTTTCAAAATTTTAAATTATAATAGCTTAGTTTATAAGGTAACAACTGCAATCAGTTATTTCAAAATGGCACCTATTATTATACTTTAATTAAGAGTGGACCTTGGCCGTAACCGGTTTGGCTCAGTGGATAGAGCGTCGGCCTGCGAACTGAAGGGTCCTGGGTTCGATTCCGGTCAAGGGCATGTACCTTGGTTGCGGGCACATCCCCAGTGGGGGGTGTGTAGGAGGCAGCTGATCGATGTTTCTCTCTCATCGATGTTTCTAACTCTCTATCCCTCTCCTGCTCTCTCTGTAAAAAAATCAATAAAAAAATATATTTAAAAAAAAAAAAAAAAAAGAGTGGACCTTGGCAGAGTGGTTAGAAAAAAACAATGACACTATTCCCCATAGAGTTCTATGTCCCTAGGAGTGAATTAGATGCTACAAAAGAAATTATGTATAATTCCATTAACAAACATGTCATGTCAGAATGGAATAAAAAAGACAACACTAGAAAAAGTCATAACTTTACAGAGAAGAAGGAATTGCATTTAGAAGATCTATATTCTTCAAGTCTTAACCATAATCTATTATTGATAATGTATTCAACTACTGTGTATTTCCTAAACTTTATTGAACATTTAAATATTCCATTATGAAATTATAAATTAGAAAACAAAACATCATATAACTATTTCACTTACACATTTTTCATTTTATGTAGATTTTTCCCTAACAATCTTTTATGCCATTTTCCTAAGCAAATCAGAAAATAAAACTCTTAATGTTTTAATTCTCAAAAATTGGTAACTTTTCTGAGACATAATATGCACTTATCTGTATAAAACTGAAAAGTGAAACACATATCTCAGGTACTCTTGATGAGACAAACTTCCAAAGAATGGATTATGTGCACATCTACAGTATTAAGGCAACAAAATATCTTTCACCTGATAGTCAAACTGGTTCACTGGGCCCACTGCAAAATTATCGGGTGGTCCACCAAAGTTGTGATTGTTCTGGTTAAATATATGCCTGTTGTCAGGGGCAAATTCCCCACTGTCCTGACTGTTGCTGTCTTCGGAAGGAGGAACAATGTCCATTGGGCCTGGTGTTGGTGGCATCCATGGCTGATCTGGAGGGGGATGTGGGGGTTGCTGATGCATTCCCCATTCTATTTAGAATTTAGGCATAAAAACATTCAACAGGGAGTTATAACAAAATCAACACAAATTTTTAAGCTCTCAAGAAAGCTAGATTTTTCAGTAAAGAAATAAATATAAAATTTATGACTTCTTGGTCAAATTCCTTTTGTATATCTCAAAAACAAGCAATGAAGTAATAAATCATTCAAATGAGCTAACTCCACTCAATTCATATCCTAAGTAAATGAAAACAAATGCCCCAAATTATTTTTAATAAATGTAACAAAACTCAAAGCAATTTTTGTTGTTGAAGTTTTCTTTATCTGTTCAGTACCACCACCATAAAAATAATGCCTAAGGATTTTTATATAATTTCTTTCTTCCATGAACACATTTATCCTCACAACATCCCTGTGAGGTAGGGGGAAATCAGGTATTTATTATTATTTTTTTTTTTTTTGCCAATTTCAGGAGAGGAAATTGGGCACACAGAAATAAATCACTTGCCGGGGTCACAAAGAAAACCAGTAGAGCAAAGATGGGGAAGTGGATGATGCTAGGGTGAGTCATTTATAAACTTAAAACTTGGGAACTAAAACATTTTCAAACTTAAAGTTTAGTTTAGCATAGCTTCAAGAAAACTAGAAATGAACTACATCACAGTATCAAATATTAGAATATTCATTATCCTTTTAAAAGTGATGTTAGAGGATTACTTTCTGAGTTTTCCATTCTTACATTGAAAAACAAAAATAACTACTAATAGGGAAAGATGACTTCACCATCAGCACACTTAAATGTAAGATTCCTCTATAAATAAAGTGACTATTAAAAATAATTAATAGCACAAGTTTTGAAAAACTGAACTAGCATCAAGGAATCTAAATCATACTGTGAAGTAAAAAAACAAGCAAGCAAACAAACAAAACAGATAAAAACTTATGGAAGATCTTCACTATCTGAAAAAAACGGAAGTAAGTATGGGTGGATAGTAGGGGCAGAATATATTTGACAGACTAATCTGTCACATAGTGACACAATTTTTCTTTAGAAACTAGACATGTTTTGCTCTGCCAGTCCTGCTTCTGAAAGGCCAGAGGTTGCAAGAGAGAGATCATAGAATGCTCTCTTCCCTAGATGCCAAGTGAGGTTTCCAGTGTTCCCAGCCCCTGTCAGCCTAGGAATGAAGAACCAAGAAAAGAATCAAACTGAGTGCCACAGTGCTAGCAGACTGAGTACAGAATAATTTTAACCACAAAATTTCAAGGTCAAATCTAATTTAAACTGCCTATTCTTCAAGCATTGATTTCAAGAAGTCATAAGTTTAAATAAGCAAATTAAACAATTTAATTTTAATCCTTGTATTTTAAAAACAATCCGAAAATTTGGAAAACATAAACAACAAACCTGGTTGCCACATCCTGTTAAAGTTTGAATCCCCTTGAAAATTCCCATGATTGTTTGGACCAGATTCCATTGTAGACATATCTTGTCCATTTGGCATCATTCCTGGTGGTTGTTCTACCATGCTTTGCTGTCCTGAAGCTTCTCTTTGGGCAATCCAAGCTTGAGCCAATGCAGCCCAATCAATCTGGCCTAATATAATTTAACATAGCAAAATTGAGTATTCAGAATGTAGAAGCTAAAAGAATAGTGCCTCTATGTAAAATAAGCATCTCAGTAATTTATTCCTGGAGATTTTAAATATTACCAAATGTTATGACTAAAAGGATGCTCAGATAACCTGTATTCAGGCTACAAAATGAAACAAACTACTTAAGACTTTCTGAAAAGGATTCCATAAAAACACTCTTAACCAATTAAGTTCTAATATTAACTCATAAGAAATTTATCCTCTGCACTTTAGTTGAGTGAGATACATATATAAATATACGTAAATATAAATAAATAAATAAATGTTTTTATTTGATTTTAGAGAGGAAGGGAGAGAAACATGGATCAGCTGCCTCCTGCAGACCCCTTCACTGGGATTGAGCCCCAAACCCGGGCATGTGTCTTGACCCGGACCAGCGACCTTTTGGTTGGTGCATGGGATGATGCTCAACTAAGTGAGCCACACCAGCCAGGGCAGTTTACTGAGTTTTTTTTAACAAATGATCAAACTCACTCATCTATTCTTCAAATAGGTCCTCTTCAGGCCCAACACTGGATCCTACAGATCTCAGATGAGTGTAACTACCCCTATTCCTCCTCATAGTCACCCTTCTTTAGTTTCAGCTCCCTTCTCTAGTCAAAATACCTCTATCACAACTTATTAGTCATTCTTTACTCACATTTATTGTCCCCAATAATTTAAGGTCCTCCTTTATTTCTCAAATATCTATACTTAACGTTTTAAGATCTAATATTATTAATAAAGGAAAAAAAGTAAAATAAGATAGTTTTTCAGATCTATTTAGTCAAGATTAAAAAGGTATTCTCATACATTTTAAAAAAAAATTATTTTTATTGATCTCAGAGAGGAAGGGAGAGTGAGAGAGAGAAACAACAATGATGAGAGAGAATCATTGATTGGCTAACACCTTCTGGGATTGAGCCCACAACACGGGCATGAGCCCTGACTAGGAATCTAACTGTGACCTCCTGGTTCATAGGTGGATGCTCAACTGCTGAGTCACATTGCTGGGCTTATTCTCATACATTTTGATGGAAACATAAATCGGCATAATCCTCATGAAGTTAAACTTGGCAGTGTCTACCTAAAACTTTCCAAATATGCAACTGTGATCTTGATATTTTTACTTAGAAAATAAAAATAATTGGACACATAAATAACGATATATATACAAAATTATGATAATTATTTTTAAAAGTGAAAAACTATAGCCCAACCTGTATAGCTCAGTGGTTGAGTGTCGACCCATGTGCCAGGAAGTTACAGTTCAATTCCCAGTCAGGGCACATACATGGGTTGTAGGGTCGATCCCCAGTAGGGATTGTGCAGGAGGCAGCCAATCAATGGTTCTCTCTCATCACTGATGTTTCTCTCTCTCTCTGAAATCCATAAAAATATATTTTAAAAAATAAAAATGACAATTAATCATCCAAAAGTGGATCAATTAAATTACAGTATCTTCCTATAATAGAATGCTATGTAGATATTGAAAAAATAAGTTCAGATTAACCTAATAAAGGCAGGGCATTGGAAGGGATCATATCAATGAAACAAAATTGGCCATGAGTCAATAACTATCAAAGCTAAGTAACAAATGGGGGTTCCCTATACTCTTTTCTACATCTGTATATGCTTGAAATGTTCCATAATAAAGAGAAATGACTTAGCATACCATCAATTAACTATGCTCTACACTGAATTATAAGGTTCAGAATTAAAAGAAGTATGCTTTACTTAAATTACACGTTTAAGAAAGATTTTCTACTTTCTTAGAAAAAAAGAACTAAGTCAGTTTTAAAGATTAAATACTGACCACAAAATGATCCAATAAACTAATTCCAACTCCATCTTCCTTAATCCCATCAAATTATTTCCCACTTATCTCCACATCTCTCTTCTCGCCCACCCTCCGATTTCGGTTTATTTCCTTACTTGGATCCTGCTGGTGCTGGAATGACTGCATCCACTGTTGTTGGTTCAATGGCCATTGCTGCCAAGGCTGTCCTCCTTGATCCCACATCCTGACTTTAAAAATATATTTGATTTTCTATTTTCAACAAAATGAACATAGTTTAAAAATGAGAATGAGAGTTCTTAAATTTTAAAAGCTCACACAGAAAATATTATACAATAATACATTTATGTGATCAGAGCTCTAAAATTCTGGTCAATAGGTTGCCAGAGGCAACTGGAATTTTTAGGTTGGCAAGCAAAAAATAGAAAATTTCATGTTAATACTGGTATCAGAATTTGGTGGTAGGCATTGCTCAAATCAATTTAGCTCAAAAAGGAAAAAAAAAATCTAATTTTTCCCAATATAAATCTCTTGAAATATAATTACTTTGAAAATAATAAGAAAAAAAATGTGATTTCATCTCCCCCAACCAAGATTCCTTGAAGAGAATAACCAAATAACTCTAATAATGAACGAGAACTCTCCCTTATAAATAACTATGGCTAGTGAATGCTTAAGGTAAAATCAATTTAGAAAACTGCCATATTGCCAAACCTAATAGAACAACTGATTCAGACAATCTTAGAAGCAATGGGAAATCACAAATTGAAAAGTTGCCAAAATATCACCCTACAGATTTAATAATCTGTAATAGTGCCACCTCATAAGATATATTATGTCCCCAGAATCATTTAAATAAATACTTTCACCAAAAATGTTTATTTGAATCCAACTGAGCTTTTCTATCTTACTTCTAGTGTGAAGGAACTATAAGGGGACGAAGGAATGAGATAAACAGTATCAAAGAAACAATCAGATAAATCCAGAAGGTGAGGTAGTTTACTGGACCAGGTTTCTTACATGTAAACAGCATGAAAAAGACTGGGGAAGAGAACATATGTTAACAACTATTAAATCTACATAATGGATATGGGGGAGAGGGTCATCACATTAGTTTACTTTTCTGTAAACTAGTTTGAAAACTTTCATAACACAAAGTTTAAATTACTACAAGTCTAATATCTTTGTACTTTATTCAATCCTCTTCAAGAACCAATGACACATATGGTAAGCAGCATATGTTTCTTCAATTTTGTACCTTAGGGCTTAATATAAAATAGGCATTAAATAAATGTTTACTAAACTAATCCTTCTAGAGCAGGGGTGGGCAAACTTTTTGACTCAAGGGCCACAATGGGTTCGTAAACTGGACTGGAGGGCCGGAACAAAAGCATGGATGGAGTGTTTGTGTGAACTAATATAAATTCAAAGTAAACATCATTACATAAAAGGGTACGGTCTTTTTTTTTTTTTTTTCATTTCAAACGGGCCGTAGTTTGCCTACGGCTATTCTAGAGTCTAGAATCTAGACTGACCCTTTCCTCTAAAAACAAGGCAAAAGCCTTAATATTGCAGGATCACAAAAAAAGGAGAAGCCAGATAATAAGAAAGTAAAACACACCAACTCAAATGAGACAGTTGGCTATTATAACTCAGGCTCTTAGAGTTTGCAACTCCAGTCTTTGTAGCATTTTTATAATTCTATCAATGGCAGATGCTGACTTCTCAATTGAAGAGCACTGTCAATTAGGGAAGATGCATTCGTTTGTTACCTTGACTTACTTAAGAATTAGTGCACTTATCTACTGGTTGCATGAATATGGTCTATTATAAAGGCATTATTAGCATACGGCTAAAGAGGCACTACACAACACCCCAGCTGAAGCCAACAATTGAACTGGTTAAATATACTTTTCTAATCTCTCTTGAGATTTTCATTCCTCTCCCTATTCCCCGCACCCTCTTCTTTTCCAACTATACCTTTAAAGCCCTTTAAAAACTAAATGACTCATTACAGCCCTTGAAAAGTAACTTCACTTATAACTTGAATTAAAAGGTAACAAATAAAGAGGAAACGCCCAAAAGAAATATCAACTGATATTTTGACTGACCTTAGAGATTCACCTTCTGTTTAAAATTTAGACAGATTCAGACTACAGCTTGGAAGCATAGCAGCAAAATTACTTATGCCCTGAAAAAAAAAAGTATAAGTTTGCTCTTAGATTATGAAAAATTAGAATAAAAAGATACTTTAGAGATGTAACATGAAAATGTGATCATCTCCAAATTATTTTGGAACTTATTCTTTTATTAACTATAATGAGAAAGTATTTACCATTATAAGGTTAAGGGAAACAGGTACATCAGAAATGGGAAGGCAACACTTTTTAACATCTTTTTCTTTCAAAATATCTTTTTTATTTACAATAAAATATCTTTATTTATTAACAATAACAAAACAGTGTCAAACCATCTAGGGATTGTTAAATATGCTGAGAAAAAAGGAACAAACATTTGGAAAGAAGATCTCATCCACCTGGTATTAGCTTAAGTGGTACAAGTGAGGCAATAAAATGCATTAATTCAGATTTTTCTATGGAATTTTAAGTTTAAAAGTTAACAGTAGTAGGTGAGAACAGTCTGTCCCTCAAACAGATTCTTCCCGTTAGGATCAAAGCTTTTCAAAAGTTGATAGAAAAACAAATCTATTCATCTTTTATCTTCCATAAGGTACAGGACAGCTTCCTCCACATAGCAATTACTAAACACCAAACAAATAAAATGGTCTGTAGCTCCATCTTTTTGTTCACTTTCAAAAATTAAAGAGAAAAAGAAAGAGAAATCTACAGATTTTTAAAAAATATAATTTTATTGATTTTTTACAGAGAGGAAGGGAGAGAAACAGAGTTAGAAACATCGATCAGCTGCCTCCTGCACACCTCCCACTGGGGATGTGCCCACAACCAAGGTACATGCCCTTGATCGGAATCGAACCTGGGACCCTTGAGTCCGCAGCCTGATGCTCTATCCACTGAGCCAAACCGGGTTAGGCCCGGCCGGGGTCGGCAAACTGTGGCTCGGCAAACCGCGGCTCGCAAGGCACAGGCAGCTCTTTGGCCCCTTGAGTGTGGCTCTTCCACAAAATACCACATACGGGCACGTACAGTTTGACTGAAACTTCGCGGCCCATGCGCAGAAGTCGGTATTTTGTGGAAGAGCCACACTCAAGGGGCCAAAGAGCTGCATGTGGCTCGCGAGCCGCAGTTTGCCGAGCCGCAGTTTGCCGACCACTGGAACCGTTAGGGCATCTACAGATTTTTTAAGATATGAAGAATCAAAGAAAGTTGATCAGCACAGTCCATAATGACTGGTATAAGCAATAACAATTACACAAGTCATATAAATGTGAGGCTTTGGGCAAATTAACTGTGTCATTTTCTTATGAAGGATTTGGAGTAATCTTCTGTTATCTAGTCCAAAAAAGATATCTCTGATTATGAGAACAAAATTGAGTTATGTTGAATTTTGTAAAGTGACAGGTTTTAAGAAAAGACTTGGTATACTTGAATATTTAACATAAACTTGTATTTATGTTTCAGCATCTTAAACAATGTTTGATAGTTTCATTAATTATTCTAACTCAAGAAGAAAATTGTGATTTGATGGCAAGGATTTAAATGCCCTATTCTTGCCTGGCCAGCATGGCTCAGTGGTTGAGCATCGACCCATGAACCAACATGGTCAGGGTACATGCCCGGGTTGCAGGCTAGGTCCACAGTGTGGGGCATTCAGGAGGCAGCCTATCAATGATTCTCTCTCATCATTGATGTTTCTATCTCTCCATCTCCCTTCCTCTCTGAAATCAATAAAAAAAATAAATAAAAAACAAAAGCCCTACTTTTTCTTCCTTCATTTTCACCATAAAATCTGCAACAAATGCAAAATCTGGGAAACAAAAGTAATATGAAGGCACACCTGGCAATAATAAAAAATACGTATATTTTAATTTCATTATGGTTTAGTGAAATAATATAGCCTTGTTCTGACTATGTTATTGACTAAAAATGACATTTACATATTGGCTTAATAATGATTTGGAAAATAATAACTGTTAAAGATGGGTAATAAGTACATTAGGGTTCCTACTCTACCTTTGTACTCTGAAAATTTCCACAATAAGTTAAAGATAATAAAGAGTACTTGTTATAGAGAATCTTATATTGAATTTTCATGTGTTTTTTTTGTCTTGGCTCACATAAGAATCTTCTTGAGGGGCAGAAGAAATCTTATAATTTAAAAATTCCCTAGCATTTTTCCCAAAGTATTATTTTCCTTTAACCTTAATATTAAAGATCCTTAGTCTCAACTTCGAAAGTTTGTAAGACTTTGTTTATTGTCGAGCCAGACTATAAGATTTTCCCTTTATGAGGTTTAATTAACTGCTATTTTCTTGAAATAACTGGGATTTGGAAAGAAAAGAAAGATCAATAACCACTATTTGCATTAGATCATCCAAGTTATCACACTGGGCTGTAAAGACCTAGCTTATAGCTATGTCCAGTGTTATAGACTGAACTGTGTCCCCGAGAAATATGCTGAAGTCCCTACCCCCACTCCCATAAATTGTGAATGTGATCTTATTTGGAAATAGGGTCTTTGCAGATGTATTCAAGTTAAAATGAGGTCATACTGGATTAAGGTGGGTCCTAATCCAATGTGGTTGGTGTCCTTGTAAGAACACACACACACCAGCACCACCATGTAACAAACCAAAGAGCAGACACTGGACAGACATATCCACAGCCAAAGATTGCTGGAAACCACCAGAAGAAGCTAGGAAGGGGCAAGGAAGAATCCTCCCTATAGAAGAGGGAGAGAGGGAGGAGAAGAAGAGAGTGAGAAGGAGAAAGAGACAGAGACAGACAGAACAAGCAAGCCAGAATGGCCCTGCCAAAACCTATATTACAGACTTCTAGCCTGGAGAACTGTGAAAGAATAAATTTCTGCTATTTTAGGGCACTGAGTTTGTGGTAATTTATTACAGCATTCCTAAGAAACTAATACAACCAGAAATGACCATCATTCATCTTACCCATTTCTTAGATGACAATATATTAGAACACTGCGCTTTGAGGTTCTTAAAAATACCTGTTTAAATGACAGTCACTGGCTGTGTGAGAAGATGAACGAAAATGAAAATGTAATTTTTGTTGTTGTTGTTGTTAATCCTCACCGGAGGATATTTTTTTGCATTGTTTTTCAGAGTGGAAAGGAGGGAAGAGAGAGACAAAGGAGAGAGAAACATGGGTGTGAGACACATCAACTGGTTGCCTACCGCACCAGGGATTGAACCTGCAACCCAGGTACTTGCCCTTGACCCAGAATCAAACCTGAAACCCTTCCATGCACCAAACCTGAAACCCTCCTGTGCACGGGCCAACGCTCGAACTGGCCAGGGTGAAAATGTAATATTTTAAAGCCCTTAAGCATCAATTGCAAAATCAAAGATATATAGAAGCACATCTATCCTTTGATACATATAGTCAAATGTTTCTCACATCAAATATAAAGTTTAGAAACTACTAACTGCAATAATCCTCTTCTCCCCTGCCCTTTCAGTCCTACACACCAGATGACTGATGTCAAAATAAAAAAATTAATTTGTTCAAATTAGGTGGAAATGGCACTAGTAAAGGTTAACTTTATAATAATTTGAAATGTGGTAAAAAAATTTTTTTTTGCTATTTCATTTGACGCATTTTGATATATACTGGAATACTTTGCAGCTTGCAGCTTAGCAGATTTAAAAAATATTGGAAAATTGGATAGTTTGGTTATAAAAGTAGTAACTGAGCCCTGACAGGTTTGGCACAGTGGATAGAGTGTCGGCCTGCGGACTGAAGGGTCCCAGGTTCGATTCCGGTCAAGGGCATGTATCTTGGTTGTGGGCACATCCCCAGTGGGGGGTGTGCAAGAGGCAGCTGATCAATGTTTCTCTCTCACTGATGTTTCTAACTCTCTATCCCTCTCCCTTCCTCTCTGTAAAAAAATCAATAAAATATATATTTAAAAAAAATAACTGGAAAATAAATGAGCAAGAGCCTAAAGGTAACAACATCTCAGTCGCAACAAGTACATATAGTATCTTGGTTCTAATACCATTCTACAATAAAAGGAATCAGGGATCCTTAAAGAAAGAGCCGATTCTTAGGATTGGGGACATACAAAATGAGCCTGGAGTACTAAGAAGAAAGAAAGTGCATTAAAAAAAAGAAGGAAGGAAGGGAGGGAGGGAGGGAGGGAGGGAGGGAGGGAGGGAGGGAGGGAGGAAGGAAGGAGAGGAAGGAAGGTCAAAAGTACAAAGCCAACTGAAAGAGCTCCTAAAATCCAAAACTGAAAAAAATTTGAGCAAAATAAAATAGTACTGATACAAATATTTATGAGTCCATGCTGATATAAATAAATGATTGAATAAATGGGAAGGAAGAGACAAATCTCCCATGGAGAATTCCAAATAAATTATGTGGATACTCTCCACTCCTGAATTATGAACTGTGCAAAGGGACTTCCTCCTAATAAGTACAGTATAAAAGGAGTGAATAGGGGAGAGTAACTTGACAAACACTACTTTAAGCAGATGACCGAAGTCAATCTCAATGTGCTGTCATTTTTATAGTCTCCTAGAAGCTCGGTGCATGAAATTCTGCAAGAGTAGGCCTTCCTTCCCCAACTGCCGCACCGGCAGGACCCAGGACCGGGCTTCCCTTGCAGCCCAGCTTCGTCAGGAAGGACGTCAGGTCTATTAGCTTATTACATTTTTATTAACATAGACTAGAGGCCCAATGCACAAAATTCATGCAAGCATAGCCGGCTGCCACGCGGCCCCATGGCCCCCGCCCCCCACACTGGTTGTTCCAGAAGGTTGGTCAGCCATCCGGTCTAATTAGCATATTAGTTCTTTATTATATAGGATACCCTTGATTGGATGCCTGTGATCTTCCTCTCTAAAACCCCTAACACCAATCTTATCATGAGGAAGACATCAGATAAATTGCAACAACAAGGCATCCTACAATATACCTGACCAGTACTCTTCAAAACTGTCAAGGTCACTGTATTAGTGTGCTAGGCCTGCCATAACTAAGTACCACAAACTAAGTAGTTTAAATAACAGAAATTTATTTCCTCATAGTTTTGGAGGCTAGAAGTCCAAGATCGAAGTATCAGCAGGGTGAGTTTTATTCTGAGGTCTATATCCTTAGTCTGCAGATGAATGAGTCCTCCCTATGTCTATGTTACTGGGGAGATGACGAGACCTCGGTTCTTGTCTTCTTGATAGAAAGGTTTCAATCAAGAGACAAAGTATAGAAAAGCAAGCAGTAATTTATTGACCGTAGCAAAAACACACTTAGGACAGTGAAACAAGGACCATTTCTCCTCTGGTTGCAAGTCTCATAGGATCTCTCTCTTAGAAGTTAGGGGATATGTGCCTGTGGGGGAAGGAAGAGGAAGGGAATGAATGAGTGTGCTCCTTGGAGGGAAAATGCACCCATCATCTTCATTTTCAGGGGGTTTTAAAGGCTGGACATTTAGGGGAGTTTTTAGGGGAGAATCAATAGAATATTCGTCAGCTTTATGCTGATGTACCAAAATGAGATTTATTCCCTTAATCTGTCTATCCTTGGGTGTGGTTGGAAAACTGCACTAATTGGAATTGTTATCTGTCTCCCAGAGTAGGATGATTCAAGCTATTGACCCTCTGGCTGGAGAGAAGTACATTTACTCTTAAGTGTCCACGATTCAGAGAAGATAGGATTTACTAGGCGGCTGCAAACTGCTATTTAACTATCTGTCTTAGTTTCCCTACCTAGTCCACTTAACCCTGGAATTTTCCTAGCTTCTTACTATTTTATATCTTTACATGCTCTCCCCGCTGTGTCTTAATCTTCTTTTCTTGTAAGGACACCAATCGTAATGGTTAGGGCCTACTCTAATGACCTCATTTTATTTCTTTATAGACACTATCTCTTTGCATTGCTTTTCAGAGTTTTCGGAGGGAGAGAGAGAGAGAAACAAAGGAGAGAGAAACATGGGTGTGAGATAGTGTCACTTTCTGAGGTGCCAAAGTTAGAATTTCAACATGAATTTTGGAGGGATACAATTCAGCCTGTAACAGTCACTGAAAACAAGAAAAGCCTGAGAAATGGTCACAACCAAGAGAAGACTGAAGACACATAATAACTAAATATAATTTGGTATCCTAAATGGGGTCGTGGGACACAAAAAAAGAACAGTGGATTAAAATTTAGGAAACATGAATAAATGTGGACTTTAGTTAATAATGTGTCAACATTGTGTCCATTAATAATAATGTATCCATTGATTGTGCAACAAATGTATCATACTCATGTACATTAATAACAAGAGAAACTGTGTAAAGGGAGTTTGGGTTCATTACTTGGGAATTCTGTACTATCTGCTCACTTTTTCTGTAAATCAAAAACTGTTCTAAAAAATAAAGTCTATTCGTAAAAAAAATAATAATAATAATTAAATATAGTTTCATGAACATCTTAAAAGAACTGACTTACTGTTGTTACTTTCCCAATAGCCCCAGGATGCTTTACAAAGTAGTCACACGAGTGAGTCCTTTTAAAGTGTTCTGGTCTGCTTTTATTGCTTTTGCCTTGCTGCACTCCAATCAGAAATTCCAAGTTGCTTTGCTCTTTTATGAGCTAACCACCGATAATCAAAATTTGTCAATTGCCCAAGATGTTCAGAAGACAATACCCACCGCAGGATAATACCACTAAAATATTGGACACTGCCTCTTCCACTAGTGAAACTTCATACATGATGCCCATCACTGGATAAAACAAGATTACAAACTAAGGAAGCTAATTATAGTCAACAGGACGCATTTGCCCTTGGCTGCGCCTGCGTAGTCAGAGCTGCACAGCGCAAAAGGTCCAGGTCCGGGTCTTCCGCCGCCTCCGCCCCCCTCGCAACCCGCTCCCCACAGAGGGTTCCCACTGCGCACGCGCAGTGCTTAACGGCAGGTCAGGAGCCCCAGAATTAGTCCCTTCTCATCCGAGAAGAAAACTCTCATAGTTAAGAGAAAGGGGTGGTGAGCACTCTCCTTCATGGCAACATCTCCTTTTTATCGAGAGGACCGATTTGATTCACCAAGTCAGGCAGACCCCGCGGCTTTAAGGGGATGAGGTCCCAGGGGAAGCGCCAAGCAGCGTAAGCAACCTACGTGTTTTAAGTTATGCTACTTTCGCCACAGAAACCACTAAGTTTGTAACGGCCCGGCAAGTCCCCACGCGTAACTGTTTTCCACCACTTACTCACTGTGATTCCGGAATACGGTTGCCGCCACCGTTCCTGTAATACCTCCAACCCTTTCGCTGCTTCTACTTCTTCCCGAACAAGACAAGATGGCGCCCGAGTGGTCTCACCCGGAAGTAGTAATAACAACATCCGCCTGTCCTCTGAAGCCGCACGGTGCCTGCCTCCTGGTCTTTGAGCACTAGACGGTGCCCGGTTTACGTGTTGCCGCGCCATTTTTGTTATGGGCAGTACCACCTGGTCTCTGGTACACGCCGCGGAAGTGTCCGAACATTCCTGTACATTCCCCTTACATGTCGCCAGCGCCTTGCCCGGCCAAGAGCTTAAGTATTCTGTGCAGTGCGCCCTGCAATTTTTTACTTTAGCAACGCGATCCTCCTTCAGGGGCGAGGGATGTTCTTCCCTAGGAACACTTTAGCTTCGGAAAAGGGGGCTGAGATTGCGGCACTAGTTTCAGACTACGGAAGGGCCAAAGGGTCAAACTGAAGAACTGGCCCGAGGCTCGGAGCGCCCGGAGCGGCGGGCCGGCCGCGGTCTGGCGCGAATTCCTGGCGAACGGCGGCCTTCGGTCTCACGGCGGCGCCGAGGGCTCCGCCTCAGGGCCCAGACGTTAGCGGTGGGGGCCGTCTGGAGGGTAGCGATGGCGGGGACCGTAGCCGACCCCGCAGCGGTCACTCTTTTTGTTTACCTCGAAGCATCGCGCCCCCTTCCGGGGACTTGGGCTCAGCGGAACCTCCCCCAGCAAGTCCCGAGGTTCCGCTCTTTCCCGCTGAGCTTTAAGGAAAAGTGGCGGGGAGGTCCAGTTTCCACCTCCCAGCTGCAAGATGGCCCCCAGAAAGGGTTCAGGCAGCGCAGTTCTTGGAGTGGCATCCTGGACTCCGTGTTGTTTTACTCTGAAACAATGTCCAGGGATAAAAAAGTATCGATTTCCAGGCCAGCGTCTACAAGTTACAAGGAAAACCAAAATGTTCCGAAGATACACTATCCATTTCTCAACCAAGTCTTGGGCAGTGCCTTGCTGGGGAGTAAATGAGTGCAACTTGTGTGTGACCGAAGGAAGTGCACCAAGTGTCTAAACTGTTCCATTGAGAATGGTGCAAAAGACATGCAAGTGATAGGAGGAATAAGGTAGCAAGACTACACGGCGGTAAATGTAGACGCCATTGACATAAAACCTAGTCTTCCGTCGTAAAACACAGGAAACCAAGATGCTCCTGGGTGAGATGTGGAATCAAGTCCTCCATAGCGAACCCTCTGCTGGATCGAGTCCAAGGGGCTCTCCCGGCAGAGCTTCCCCGGGAGAGTCCGCCGACTGCGGGGGCGGCGCGGCTGCGGAGGCGGGGATGCCGCTGGGGTGCCGCCCTCCACCCTCCCCGCACGTCCGCTCAGCGCGCACTGCACACACAGACCCGTACAGGTTTAAGAATCACTTCATTAATCTCTGATTTTGCTCTGTGATTTTCTTCACTTTCCAAGTTTTTTTTTTCAAGTTTACTTTCCTGAGAAACATTCTTTTTTAAAAATATATATATTTTATTGATTTTTTACAGAGAGGAAGGGAGAGGGATAGAGAGCTAGAAACGTCCATGAGAGAGAAACATCAATCAGCTGCCTCCTGCACACCCCACACTGGGGATGTTCCCGCAATCAAGGTACATGCCCTTGACCAAAATCGAACCCGGGACCCTTCAGTCCGCAGGCCGCCGCGCTATCCACTGAGCCAAACGGGTCAGGGCCTGAGAAACATTCTAATAAGAAAAACGTCCTTTCTCTGTAAAGCCTGATCGCTGGTGAAACTTTCGTATGTTCCTGCTTCCTGTAATCATCATGCAGTTGTTCTCTTGTTTCCCTAGTCAAGTGGAAGCAATTTCCTGAAAGATTTATTTTTCATCTGTGCGTTCCAACTGGCCAGCAAACTGCATAGCCACGTTTTCCCCCCCTTTGTCAAATGATCAAATTAATATTTTGAACAATGACCCCAGTATGGGCCCATCATTTTGGACACTTATTGCTAAATGTTGTTCCCCGTGCCAGTTTCATGAGCCACCCTCAGCAGTCGCTCCCCTTTCCCTTTCCCTCACCCGGTCATCTAGGATTTCCCTGTAATGTTCCGATCCGAAGGAGGCATCAGGCATGTGTCTCGATGCATTTCCCAGAATGCCTTTGTGCTCAAGGGTTTGAACAGCTGCCGTGTGTATGAGCTGCCGCCGGCCGGTCATTGTGCACCTTGCCCAGAAAGTGCTGGGCCGCCTCATCTTGCCCGTCTTGACTGACACTCTCGCTTATGACCAACAATCAGCAGGCTTTGTAAATTAAATTTCTTAACTTCTCCTGTTTGCAAAGTGTTTGAAGGAGAAAGTTCAAGGGGAGGATATGTTCAAGTTACTACTTTGCATTATGGAAACAAGTTATCCTCAAGGTAAGATGGAAACATGTTAAATAAGATGAGATATTGAAGAGAAAGAATTGGGACATATTCCTGCTTCTCAAGAGTTAAACCTTTACAGTGTTAAGTTCCATATCACATCCCTTTTGAAATTTAAGAATAAATGTCATTTAAAGCTGTGGTATATACATGCACTAGAATATTATTCAGCCTTAAAAGGAATGAAATTCTGAGACATGCTATGACACGGATGACCCTTGAAAAGATTATGCTAAGTGAATCAAGGCAGACACAAAAGGACACATACTGCGTATTTTCACTTACATGAGGTACCTAGGATCGGCAGCTTCATAGAGACAGAAAGTAGAATAGCGGTTGCTGGGAGTTGAAGGAAAGGGTAATAGGGAGTTATTTAATGGGTACAGAGTTTCTGTATGGGATTAGGAAAGGGTTCTAGAAACCAATGGTGGTAGTTGTATAACATTGTGAATGTACGTAATGCCACTGAATCATACACTTAAAATGGTTAAAATAGTAAATTTTATTATATATTTTTACCACAATAAAGCCTATAATGGAGGATAAGAATTATTTCAAGCTAATATGCTACAAGCAAATGATTACAAATTATAACTTTTAATTCTTAAGTACTGTTGTTACTTAAGCATCTCCTAGAAAGTTAGTGTCTGGCATAAGTATGAGGAGGATATAAAATAATAATTACTTCGGTTATTGAACCAAACTGGTAATGGGCATTTGGGCCAGACTGGAGAAAGTAAGGTAAACCTACTACTGTATGTTCACTGAGTGGCATATTCTTACCTAAAATCTTTTGTGATTCAAGCTACTGTACTACTTCTGTACTTAATTCACTTTAATAATGTTGTAAGACATTATTAGTGTTCACCCATATCTGATTCTCCGTAGACCCAGCACACAGAAGACAGCAATTTTCTAAGTCCCCTTAAAGTTAGGGAGGAATTGGCAAATTAGTTCTGGCCAATAACCTGCGGTTTAAGTGATGACTGTCATTTCTGGACGTGATGCACTGTAACATCAACCAACAAGGCTATATCCTATATAATAAAGAGCTAATATGCAAATGGCATCACACCCTCACACCATCATGCTGTAACGGCTCAGATACTCAACACTGGGGAGAGAGGAATGGGGACCAGCCAGGCTGTGGCCCGGGAGAGGGACGAGCCGCCTCCCTCCCCCTCCGCAGTCCCAGGCGCCAGTGGCTGTGCCTACGCCTGTGGCCCGGGAGAGGGACAAGCTGCCCCCCTACAGTCCTGGGCGCCTGTGGCTGCAGCCAGCCCGAGCAAAGCTGGCCCGGGTCCTGGGTGCCTGTGGCCAACCAGAGGGAGGGAAGCCCGGGTCCTGGGTGCCTGCGGCCAACCAGAGGGAGGGAAGCCCGGGTCCTGGGTGCCTGCGGCCAACCAGAGGGAGGGAAGCCCGGGTCCTGGGTGCCTATGACCAGTTGGAGGAGGGAATCCTGGGTCCCAGGTGCTGGGCAAGGCAGAGGCGGTTAGGGGCGATCAGGCCAGTAGGGGAGCAGTTAGGGGTGATCAGGCAGGCAGAGGTGGTTAGGGGTATCAGACAGGCAGGCAAAAGGGTTAGCGGCGATCAGTCAGGCAGGCAGGCAAGTAGTTAGGAGCCAGCGGTCCTGGATTGCGAGAGGCAGTTGGACATCCCCCGAGGGGTCCTGGATTAGAGAGGGTGCAGGCCTGGCTGAGGGACAACCCCCCCCCCCCACCGCACAAATATCATGCACCAGGCCTCTAGTATTTCATATAATGTAGCTACGGGTTGGTATATTCTCTCTCAGTCTGGATCCCTGAGTTATTTCATGGGAAACGGTGGCCAGAAAGAGCCCCAAATCAGCAAAAGGCTGCAATGATCACAGAATAAGCTGCTAAGACTCTGAAGTAATTTGGTAATACAGCATACGTCTAGCCTCTCCTGACAAATACAGATATTGGTAATGGGAGTTGGGTGCTGCTCAAAGAACCAAAACTGTGTGGCACTGGCTTAGAGGTTGGTTGGTATACATAGCTAATACTGGAGGCTAGGAACACGGCACTTCACATCATGCAGTGGATTTGATATCACTCTAACCCACGATAACCTGGGAGAAAATGTACCTAGTGAGTTCCGAATTAAGGGAAAAAGCTGAATAATAAGAGTGTTGTGGGGTGCTATTTGACACATTTGGCAAGTTTATTATAAAGCTGGAGCTCCGAAAGAATGGTTGATTTGTGAAACCTGAAACTAAGGAAGAGGTGACCAGAAATTCTGAGCCTCATATGGTTGTGATTTTCACCTCCAAGCAGTAGGAGATAAACTTAAGAAAGCCTTTAAGTGACAAAGGATTATTAAAACTCAGCCTTGCAGCAAAATTCATAACTAAGGGTGTAGACTTTGTATTTATTTTGGAAAAAAAACAAAACTTCAATGGATTAATTAAGGGTGTGGAACCTTAATTATTTTCCTCACTTGGAAAAAAAGTGCCTGAAGATGAAAATGTGGTTAACAGGATGGCTCTCCCTTTAAAACTTATAGACAGAATATACCTGCCCAAAAAGTCAGGAGAGATATGGAGGTAGGAAATCAGAGAAATATAGGCAACCCAAGAACTACTTGTCTTAAAAAAATGGTATGGTTACTGGCATGTAAATCTGGAAGCAGAAAAAGGCCTACATTAAGAGTTGTACTGGAAAATCTATATATATAAAAGCCTAAGTGACCATTACGACTGGTCAACCAAATGCTCAACACAGGATCTGCCCCCTGGTGGTCAGTGTGCTCTCACAGCCGACCAACCTCCCGCAGTCCCTCCCCCAGGCCATCCTCGATTGGCGCCAATCGGGACTGGGCGAGACCGCCCCGATAGGCCTGATCGCCAGCCAGGCCAAGGGACCCCACCTGTGCACGAATCCATGCACCAGGCTTCTAGTAAATTATAAACCTTGGCTAAAAGAACTTGTGACTGTTTTGAACTTAAAGAAAAAGACGAAAAAACAACTTCCCCAATTATCTAGGAAATAGACTGAAATAAAGCTATGTATTTCCCAAGGATGGCATATTCCTCAACAGCCATTCAGATGTAGTCAAGGAGGATAATAAAAGATCCTTCCAGAAGGTGGAGTGTGGAGTCACAGAGAACAATGGAGAAGGGAATTCTTGGTGAACAAAATGGACATTCCCCATAACCAGAGTAAGAGACCCTGGTAATATTTCTATTCTTCTTCCCCATCTGAATGAGAATATTTATTGTGGTCACAGTCCCCCCAGTTCCACCCCTGTACAGTAAGTATATGGGGAAACAGAGCAGACCCTTTTGGTTCCTGGGTCTCCAGACCAGTGGAAGCAACATCCAGAACTGATGTAGCTCTCCTAGAGCCTGAATTTAGCAAATAAAACTGCCTGGATGGGGCTTCGTGTTTTCTTGTTTGTTTTTAAATGTTTTGATTTTTAGAAAGGGAAAGGGATAGACAGAAACATCGATGAAACATCATTGTTCAGCTGCCTCCTGCATGCCCCCCACTGAGAATGGAGCCTGCAACCTGGGCATGTGCCCTGACCAGGATCCGAACCTGTGACTTCTTGGTTCAAGGGTCAAAGCTCAACCACTGAGCAACCGGCCAGGCTGGATGCGACTCTGGGGCTGTATCCCGTAAAAACAGTCACCATGTTCCATGTATAGAAAGAAGAGTGAGCTGAGTATTTAGTGACTCTTCCCATACTTTTTTCCTGAACCCATGGAAGACCTACTCTTTCCTACCCATCCCTACTTGCAATTAGGCAGAGACATGTGACTACTTCTGCCCAATGGTTGTTGGTGACACCTCCAAGATGAAGAATTTAATCGCCGGTGCAAGACATTTTAATACTCACTTTCCCTGCCATAGTGTGAGGCCTGGTGTTGAAATGATAGAGCCACAATCAGCCTGGATTACAGTCATCAGTTGGAAAATAGTTGCCTTTACAATTGCCAAGACTCACAGTGGACCCTGGGTGAGACATAAACTTTTGTTGTGTTAAGCCACTGGGATGTTTGGTAATTTGCCACTGTGGCATAATCAGCCTATCTACATACAAATGGGAATACAAACAGTTTGGATATTTCTGCTTGAGAGCAACTTTAAAAATGTATGAAAATACATTTTTCAGGGAATTCATGAACCTCTAAAATTACATACAAAAATCTGGTGCATATATTTTTCCGAGAATTTTCCTTCCCATCTTCTACAGGAGAGGGCTTGCAAATTAAAACCCTCCTCTTCCCCCAACACTCATAGTTTCCCTTTGGGAATAGCAGGACCTTAATTCCTATATGGCTCTATGGGTAATGTTGCTTGATTTTTCTCCATGTCATTTGCCATTTGATATATCTTTTCCTTACTCTTCATTTCTTAGGATGTCTGTTTCCTCCCTTCTTGGAGATTTCTATATCCTGTGTTTAGTGCCGTATCCCCAATGCCTACTACACAGCAGGTATTCAATAAATACTAAATTATTAAGCAAAAGAAAGATGGGCTATAACTTTCCTCATAATCTCAAAGAGCTATATGACCCAAAAAAGGTTAAACACAGTTAAACAAAATATTACCTAATGAATTATCCTGCCTAAATAACTCAAACATTTCCAGAAACATCTGAAAGGATGAAGACTCACCTTTAGTAGATAATGAAATCTGAGTAAGAGTAGCCCATTTAAAATATTTTATTCTGAAACCATGAATTTCTAAAATATGAAGAATGTTTTGAATTTTGCTAAGTAAGTAAATACAATGTTGATAGATAAAATATTCTACTCAGTAATGTGCACTGCAAAAAACTCCAGGACAAATCTTGAAGTATAAAGTAAATAAGAATTTAATATTTATTATGCATGTTTATACAGGAACATCAAAATAATACTCAATAAGTTATTTATTTTCTAAAAACACTGCAAAAAAAAAAATAAAACCGTAGGAATGATATATTACCCAATGCTACTCAAAATTAAAAATATAGTTATCTATCTTTTAAATAGATTTGAATTGATGAATTTTCACATTAACCAAAACATTTTAAATATCTAAAAATAGTCTTTCTTTATACACTATATATAGATGCTCAATTTTATTGCACATAACATATTTGGTTTAGGCTTATATATCAGGTAACATGCAGATAAATAAATTATGAATATGAATTTAAGGAAAGTAGGCAGGATGTTATTTTATACTACAAAAATTAGATGAAAGTGATACATTATACAGCTTAATCTTCAGGAAATTTTATTTAGCTATTGTATAAAATCACTGAGTAAAATCACATGCAAGCTAAGAGCTATTAAATATTATATTGCAAAATAGCTCTGTTGGCACATTTAAAATAAAACAGGTATCAACTGACACCATCTACCACTCTCTTTAGCCACCCAAAAGGTGGTCTTCACATCAGGTTTAAAAATATTAAATGACAAAATCTTAAATATAGACACATACATGGTTATGTCAAAAATATTCACATAATTGGCACAATCGAAATTTTATTTTAAATAGGGAAAAAACAGGGAACACTGGGATTAGACATACCTTCTAAACCAGTTTCTAAGTAAAGCTAGTAAAATTTCTGTTTAACTTTTTAAATTCATTTGGCCAAGCACTTATGGTTGGTGTTTTGAAGATCTGTAAACATTCTTACTTATTTGTACTGTTTCCTGAGGTCATCTGGAAACTCGTTATTTTAGTAGCTTCATAATTTTGTACCCCTACAAATGTGCTTTGGAAATATTCAAAATAAGAACAAAAATGTTAATTCAGACCCATGTGTAACTTAAAATACTTTGTCTTGTTACAAGAGCTATAATTCGAAAATTCTTAGGTTTCAAAATTAAATTTATTCCATTATCAACAGACCTGGAAAAGCATTCATAAATTCTAGACCATAAAATAAGTAGATTTTAGAATTAGCTCATTTAACATTATGGAAATGGAAATAAAAGTATTCTATTTGTATGTTACTTACGGGATAATGTCTAAAACTTACATAGGTCTCTCCATTTTAAAACATGTTAAAATAGTGTCAGCGAGGTGCTTGACCCATAGTGGATGTTCAATAAATATATACATAATGAATAAATGTGAAGTTAAGCATAAAAACTGCAATACTTCGGTACGGAAGTAATGTTCTGAAGCTACAATGTATCACTCACTGAACGAAGAATCAGTTTTCACTGGTACTCAGAATAAAGCTTAAAATATCCATTTGATAAATACAGCACTGATGCATTTTCTGGCATCCTGTCAATGAAAGGAGGGAGTAGGCACTTGCCTTGATTCTGGGCCTTAACTGTCACTCACCATCTCTGACTTTAGCTGCATAAGGGATAAGCCAAAAGGCAACAGAAAAGAATGCTCTCTCTCCTTCCTTCCTTTCCTCTCCCCTTTCTTCCTTTCCTTTCATTCCCTTCCCTTTCTTCTCTCCCTTCCTTCGTGCTTCCCTCTCTCTCTCTCTTTCTTCTATCAATGATACAAGAAGCAGGTGACCATCCAATGAAAAGTACATGCCTCTTCGTAGTATCGTTTCTAGGAGCAAAATGAGGTGACAATATTTACATTTGGGGGAGTGGATGGTAATTGTCATTACCAAGTTGGCTGACATGAATAGAGATTTCACTAGTATTTCTCAAAAAAATGCACTGCTCTGCTACTGATGTTTTCAATGTTAACGGATTACAATTAAACAGAAATACTAATTTAAACACTGTTTAAACTACCTTTTATAAGACAAACAACCTGAGTTTTCAGATTAACATATATATTTTTCCATCATTTTACTGTTAAAAATCAAGAAAAATACTACTATTAAAATTGCAACAGCTTAAAAATAGAATTTGTGCCATGACACTTTTTTAAGTTCTGCATTTTGTACATTATCACAATTCCATTCATCCATGTATCAAAAGGCAGCACTGGTAACCCTGATAATGTTATATACTCGCACATTAAAAAGAACCAAAGTCGTGGTTAAATAGTTCCACAATGATCTCCAGCCACTATTCTTTTCCTTACTTCCCAAAAGGAGAACTGGGAGTAGGCACTTATCCAGCACCTTCCTGTAGCATCGTCTGTTGGCACTAATGACTAGGATGCTTGAACCATGCAATTATGTATTCTGACTCAATCAAGTGACACCAAAATAGCAATTATTTTTTAAAATTTAAGCCAAGCAGTAGAAATATTTTCATGCCAAGTTTTGACAGCTTAATAATTTGTATTCTAGGGGGAAAACTATCATATCTTTACTATTATTTAATTATTTAAAAAGAAAATCAGAAATGCCAACTTCATGCCCCATTAAAATAAAAGCTAAACTCACTTGAACTTATTAATGATGTTTGCTGAATACAAAGTGATCGCAAAACCCTAATACCATGATTTGTATTTACTGATCTAGAATTATACAGGTATTTTCTACCCTGTTAAGTATAATAGAATATAATTATCATTTACAAATTTAATTAGGTAATTGATATTTCAAAGATATCCTATGGTCTCGTATGGATTAACAACTTCTATTTATCAATTCTGAATGTAACAATTATCTATAATTATACTTTTACCTTGCCTAATCACTTGCAACTCCACTATGAGTAGGTTACAAATAATATGTTGATGAAATATTTCAATATTTTTCTAGTTCTCAAAACAGCAAAGCAATAAGCTAATCAATATATTGATTGCAAATCCATATTACTGAAGTTACAGCAATACCTTTTTATATGTCTGAAACCATACAAAATATGACAAGATCACTATGCCAACTGTATAAATGTATGTGATAGCAATGTTTCCCATACAGCAGCATACATATACCACTGGATAGTCCTGAGATGATTTTGAGTGAATTGCTACAGGAATGAACAATTTTTCTTTAATAGTTATATATTTATTTTAAGGTTTATTAGAGAAAATACAACTAGCACATAAACGGGGCTATAGTTAAAAACTAAGGTTAAAAATTATAAGTAAATGACGGCACAAGAGATACATATATATATATCAGAAAGGTGGTATGTGACTCCCATTTGGCTAACACTGTTTCGTTTTGTTATTAATGTGTTTTTTATTGATTGAGAGAGAAAGGGAGAGAAAGAGAAATAAACATTGATCGGCTGCCTCTGGTACGCACCCCAAACAGGGATCGAACCCACAGTCTTGTGGTGTATGGGATGATGCTCCAGCCCACTGAGCACCCGGTCAGGGCTGGATAAGTTTTAAGGAAGGATCTGATTTAGCCAGCATCATTTCTGAATGCTTGTAATAATATGCCACATCATAAAGGAGTTTCCTCTACTACTGTAAATTCTAGTTTTGTTCCAGGACAAACATTTTAAAACATGTGTTTACGTTTATTTAAAAAATATAAATTTGAAAGCACTGACTAAATTGAAGTTACTTTAAAAGGATTCACCCAAATGGTAAAAATGTTCAGGAGCATTTGAGGGACATGCTATTCCTACAGGAGAGAATAGACCACAAAGGCACATTGCATATTATAGCTATCATTGCAGCATTTAAATAAAAGTGATCCAAATAATCATTAACCTTAATAATTAACAACTAATTAAAATATTCTTTCATAAAAAAGAAGGTACGCTTGTGCACTAAGTGCTCTTGATTCTGGAACCTCCTGCACATAAGTGTCACTGACATGGACCCACTGGCCTGGCGATTCACTATCCGGTTCTTTCAAACCTAACAAAACAAAAAGAAGTATAATTTTTACAATAAGTGTGCTCTTTCTTTACATTATAAGCAACATCACAAACTAGATTTATTTAGTGCTAGATGTTATCGCATAAGTCTGTTTCTCCTAAATGAACTAACTCTTTAAAGCATTAATAATAGTATCATTTTACTTGAAAAATCTAGTGAAATATTAGATAGCCTTGTAAATATTTATTGTTTCAGGAAAATCATTTTCACTAAAAGAGAAAAAAACAAAAAACAAAGTTAGTTTGCAGATCCATAAGCAAAGTTAGCAAAATATCAACTCCAACTATATTCTGAGACCTGGTGTCTTCAGAAATTTTGTTATTATTAAATAAAATGCCACCTCACTGCAGTACATGACTTGACACCTTGAAAAACTGTGCCACTTTACAGCACCTAGAAGGGCACAGTCTTAGGATATTTAAGATTCTTTAAGATTACCTAGTACTCTTAAATGTATTTCTCACGCAACGTTAATAAAGTGAATCCACATAAGTCATCCATGAAATAACTTGCCTCTTCCAGAAAAGGAAGAATAAATTCATTTGTTTTTAAGAATAAAATAAACATAGGATAACATACCAGGTACACTTTTCTTTCCAGTGATCTGTTCCAATAACTTCCTGGAGGGCGTTCTCACTTTCACATATGCAGTGTAGTGGCCTCCTCGCATTGAGCCGCTATGTTCCACTATGCCGTACAGGCCATAGAGAACTTCCTCTCCCGCACTTACATTCTTCAGACAAAAATAAGTTAGTAATGTTTAGTGAAATGCTATTGTAAGGGAAATTAAGTCAAATGTACATCCTGCTTAACATAAGAGAATAACATATTAAAAATACACTGAAATGCTTTTCTGCACATATTAGACTGACAAAATGCAAATGCTTCACAAGATCCTCTGCTGGATGGGCTGTGGGGAAGAGTCCTTACACACACTGTAGGTGGAAATGCAAAGGGGCCCAGCCCCTATGCTGGAATACTTAATGTTTTCAAGCTAAATTACATATGTGATACTCTTGGATTTATCAATCCTGTTTCTAGGATTCTCTCTCATAGGTACATAAGCAAAATGTAAAAAGATATGCACCACACGACTAACTGCATAATTATTTGTATTATCAAAAAACTGGAATAGGCCCAAATGTCCATTAAGTGGGGATTGGTTGAATAAACTATGATGCAGCCATACAAGAGTGTTATGCTGCTTAAAAAGTGGAATACCAGACTATCTCTAAATACTGCTTTGAAATAATCTCCAAAATATAATGGTAAGAATAGGTAGAAAAAAGGACACATATTATAAGTTATGATTACTTAAGAGGAGAAATCCATATATACATACCTATCTACTTACATTTTTTAAAAAACTAGTAGAAGAATAAACTATAATTTTTAACAATGGTTATCTAGAAAGGGAGGGAAGAAACAGATGGGACAGATGAAGAAAAGCTATACTTGTTTAAATTTACTTTGCTTTGTACATTTGATACAATTGACTTCGGAACTGTGTAAATATTTTATGTAATTATTAAACAAAATTTGAGAATTTTGAATTTAAAAACAGTCCCTAAAAATCAAAATAAAAAAATTAAGCAGTGAAGAATATATCCAGTTGGTGGCATAGTCATTCAGAGAGGAACCACTAGGGTCAGGTAAAAAAAAACCCAGAAGCCAATTTGAAGTGGCTTTCAGTAGCCAACAATTAGCCACATTAGACAAATATATTAGAGCATGAATAAAAGAAAAGTGTAGTAAATTAAGACTTATCTGATGTGTTTAAAACCATGAACTCATAATGATAAATTAATTGATCACAGTTTGAGAATGCTAGTGAATTCATTATTCTGAAAACTAGTTTAAAAGGGAGACAGGAAAAGAATTGAGCATTAACCCTGTCTTTTCTATAAGAACTATACCATAAGATGACTAAATAGATGAAAGGAATACCTCTTTATATAGAGGTTATCTAGTTAATAAATGAAGAAGGAATGAGAAAATTAGAATATCACCATTCTGTAATTCTTAATGAACTCATGAATCTAACATTGAGCATCATTGGCCACTATCACAAAAAGACAATTGTCATTCTGTGTCACCTGACTAAACACTCCCCATGAAATACACTTGCCAGAAAAAAATTAAAAAATAAATAAGGACTATCAAACCTGAATCTGTTCAAGCTTCTCCAGATCTGCCGGGAGCCGGTCCATCCTTGCTGTTTCAAAGGACCTGGCATATATGGCATACTGTTCTTAATATGTTTGCTCACCTTGGCACTATGTGTTTTAACCAAGGTCTCCTCTCTGAGAAAGGTTGTTTCCCCAGGTAGGGATTTTCCCCTGAAGTTAGGGAGGGAATAAAACCTCTTAACTAAGTGCCAGGCGGGTAATTAACCACTTTAACTACGAACAATCGTGCTTAAGCTACATAATCTTTACTCCCTGGAATGAAGATAAGAAACGCCCTAACCTTTGTAATAGAAATTGATAGGATTGAATCAACTGGTATAAATACAGATGCAACAAGACAGCAAGACACAGAACTCAGAACACAGAACTTAGAACACAGAAGAGAGAACACAGAACCTACTCAGAACTAGAGACAGAAGAACTTCGCTGGAGAGAACATGGCAAAAGATCCTGGACTGAACCTGACTACAGAAATGGGCAAGACAACCTGACTAGAACCTGGTGACTGAACCTGGCTGGAGAACCTGGACTGAACCTGGCTGGAGAACCTAGCAAGAGAACATGGACACAGAACCTGGCTGGAGATCTGAAGCAGAACCTCTCTGGAGATCCAGACCAGAACTTGGCTGGAGATCCTGGCTAGAGATCCTGGCTAGGCTGCTGATCAACTGAACGCTGTCTCTGTGTCATTCCTTCTTCGCCAACTCCATCCACACCTTTGGGGACCCCTGGACCCGCTGGGGTTGGACCCCAGCACAGATCCAACTATCCAACTGCCTACTTGTAGTAAATAAAGAGGATAGCCCTAGCCAGTCTGGCTCAGTAGATAGAGCATCAGCCTGCGGATTAGAGGGTCCCTGGTTCGATCCCAGTCAAGGGCACATGCCTGGGTTGCAGGCTTGATCCCCAGTAGGGGGGCATGCAAGAGGCAGCCAATCAATGATTCTTTCTCATCATTGATGTTCCTATCTCTCTCACCCTCTCCCTTCCTCTCTGAAATCAGAGGGATAATCATTAAAATCTGAATTATGGGAATCTACATGAAAGATGGTCTACTTCAACAAATAAATTATGAAGAGGGAAGAGAAGGGGAGAGAGATGGGAGAGAGGAACTGTATATTAAAAGAGACTAAAAGACATTATCCAATTATAATGTGTAGTCCTTAGTTGGATATGAATTCATTTAAGATTTTTCACTTATGATATAATTAGAAATATAGACTCTAGATGATATGAAGAAATTATTTGGTTTAGTGTGAAAGTGGTATTGTGGTTATGTTAAAAAGGAGGAGTGATTCTTATCTTTTAGAAATACATAGTGAAATATTTATGAATGAAATGATGCTTCAAAATAATATAGGGGTGTTAGATGAGTTTGTGGATGGGGCAGGACTGGCCATGTATCTGAGGTTTTAAGGCTAAGTGATGGGTGCGAGAGGTTCATTGTACTGTCTTGTCTATTTCTGTCTATGTTGGAAATTCTCCATAATAGGTACTTTCAAAAATATGTTTTTATAAATTTGATACAGAGCTTGTTAAGTCTCATTTTTTTTACCGCATTATCAAATTCTGAGTGTTAATAACTGACAGATAGTGCTAACATTCCACAGATGAACTGGATTCACTGAAAAATTGCATTTAAGTTTTTTGTGTGTTTGTTGATTTACCTAATCATAAAATCCTGTTGTCAAAAATATATATTTTTTGTTTTGATTAATCAATATATGAAAAATATTAAGTTCAATAAGTATTCTCTTATATACCACAAAACCTAGGCTACTAACCAGTAATCATGAACAGGAACTTAGTTTTTTTAAAAAAGAAAGAAAAGTATGGCACAGCAAACAATCACAGAATACTTTAAGCATATTATTTGCAAGTCAATTAAATATTTTAATAATATACTACACCTTACAAGTAGCAGAACAGAATGGTGCTAAATCAAGTATAAGTGGAAAATCTACATGTCTGTTTACTTTGCGAAGACTTGATCCAGCCTAAAAAGACCAAAAAAAAAAAAAAAAATTTAATGTGACAAACTCAATCTAAATTACTGTTTGTTAATTAAAACTAAAAGAGGAATCCTAGAAGTTTTTTCATAGCTATAAAAACATGATTAATGAATAGTCCAAAATTGATATATGACTAAATTTTTATTTTTTAATTAGGTTTCATGAACTGTTATTGCAAATATATATTTTTATGCGCATTTTTACTATAAACAATATGGGAATAATTACTTTCACTGTGGCTTTTCAACACTAGGCAAAAATAAATTCAATGTGATAAAACTAAGCTATTTCATAAGCTATCATGAAAAGATATTCAACTGAAGAGTCAGGGGCCTGGTGTCCTAGCCCTGACTTAACATCTAATTTGACTCTAGGTTACCTCATCTACATCAAGGCAGAAAATGCGTATAAATGGTTTAGAATAGATCCTTTTCCGTTTTAAAATTCAGTGATATTCATTCATTAAAACAAAAAGCCTGAATTTGAATACTTAAATCACTGTATCAATAAAAGAAAATGTTATATATTATATAAATCAAAATGAACCTTCCTGTTGTCAAATAAGCTCTACTCCTTTATTTTTAATTGCTAAAGGCAGTACTTGAAAAAATGTACACTTTGCATTATTTAATGATAATTAAAAACTAGCTGATAGACTGTCAAAGGTATTGGATAGGAAACCCACAAATAGAAACTATTGGAATCAGAAAATGCGTAAATCTGAATTATATGAGTAGACAAAAACTAACCGATGCAACCTTTCATGGAAGGCTTTCATGACTTACTCCAAGGACATCATTTTAAAGGAAAAAAAGCTTATTTTTTGACCAAAATATACCCACTTACTGATTTGCATCTTCAAGTGATGTTTAGAAGACTTAACCTGATATCTGATGTGAAATCATGAGGTCATGCCCCAGGAGTAATTATTTAATCTGTTTTCAATTTTTTTGCCTTGTTTTTTCTCATCAGATGACCTCCATAAGCATCCAATACCAGCACTGCCTGAGACCCTTTCAGGCTAATGTGTCCTCCCCAGATAGCATGTTGCTGTTGAGAAGCTACCCCGTAATAGGAAAGACTCTATAAAGGGCTTTAATATAAGATGAATCTCTTTTCCGTCTTTAAACTTTTTTTTAACTTACAGTGGACATACAATATTATATTAGTTTCAGGTAGACATAGTTATTGGTATATTTATATAGTATCTACCCCAATAAATCTAGTAACTACCCTGAATCTTTTTTTCTAGGGGATGACTTTTGGAAAATACCTTGCCTTATATTTGGGCATATGCAGCCTCCTGCCTTTTTAAAATTTTTCTTTTAACTGAATATCATAAGTATTTCCCCCATGTCATTAAAATATAAATACGATATCCTGCATATTGGACAATTGTGCCAGGCCTCACAGCTGACATGATCTATAATGACCAAGATACAAATTTTTGTGTATATCTCTATTTCCTTGGAATAGGTTCTTAGAAATGGAATTACTTAGTCAAAAGTAATACTTTTGTTCAAAATGTTTTATTCAAAACATTCCTTAATATCCTTGAACTATATTATTAAATTACTTTCCAGGTGTGTCCAACTTACACCCCTACTGTTGAAACAAGAAAATGCCTATATCCCACTGCATCCTTAACACGACCATGTCTGGGCCAATTTGAACAGATTAAAAAAAGAATCCTGCTGTCATTTTATTTTGCATTTGTTTTGCTGGAAAGGACGGATCTTTTTCTTCATATTTTCTTGGAATCTTTACTTTTTCTATGAACTGTCAATTCGTGTTCTTTACCATTTTTCTATTAGGGTCTTGATATTTTTACGATTGATTTTTAAGAGTTATTTATATATTTACAATGCTAATCATTTGCCATATTTATGACAAAGATCTCTCTCCTGTTTGAGACTGGCCTTTCAGTGTTGTGGAGATTTCCTATACAGCTCTGAAGTTACTAGAGAGAAATAGGCTTTCAGAGACAATAAAATACTAGAAACAGAGACAAAGAGTCTGCTCCCTAAAATTCCCAGTTCTAGGAACAAGAATGTGCTAACATTACATTTAGCCTGAGAGCAAGAAGGGACCGAGATGTTTGTAAATATTTCCCTTTAAGGGCATGAATGCTTTCTGTAAGTTGTTCCTAAATAGGGATAAACTGACCATATATAAAACAACTGGCACATCATGCAATTAGCTTCTCAGATCTGGCATGACCCTCTCTTGCTCACACAGGGTCACTACAGACACACACCTTCCATTAGGCATTTTGATGTAGGGAGACATGATACATCTGCTCTCCATGGCCATTTCATTCCTGCTAAGTTTCTAGAATCTTGGCTACAGAAAATCAAGAACTTAACCTAATCTTTCTTTGGATAGGATGAAAGTGTAGAGGAAAATCTCTTCCTGCCCATCTGTGGCCCACCTGAAATGTTGCAGATATACTAGTATATGATCAAAGCTTCCAATCTTTTCCCTTGAGATTTCTTTCCTGGGTTTTATACTTAGAAAATCTTCCCAATCAGAGATCAGGTTTATACTTAAATTTTCTTTTAGTCTTTTGATAACTTGTTTCATGCAATTAAAAAAAATAATCTGAAAATAGTATTGATATATGGTATAGAGAGGGTAGCTAAAAACGTTTATTTCCTTCAACAGCTATTTTCTTTCCTAAGTCCTTTACTGAATAATACAGCCCCCTTCCCAACTGTTACTTTATTATCATAACAAAAGAACTTTAAATTATACTCATGTTTTATTTGACAATTCTGACCATATGTTTTACTTATAGTTTTATTTTAAAAACTCCTTCTAACTTTTGCAAAAATGTTTTAGTATTTTCACTTATTCATTCTTCCAGAGAAATGTTAAAATCATTTTATCAAATGCAAAAAAAATAAAAATGAGTCAAGGCATTGAATTAAAAATACACACACAGACTGGCCGATGTGGCTCAGTGGATTGAGCATCATCCCATGCACCAAGAGGTCACTGGTTCCATTCCAGGTCAGGGCACATGCCTGAGTTGTGGGCTTGATTCCCAGTAGGGGGGGGGGGGGGGGCGTGTAGGAGGCAGCAGATCGATGTTTCTCTCTCATGGAGGTTTCTCTCTCTCTCTCTCCCTTCCTCTTTGTCTAAAATAAATAAAAACGTATTTTTAAAAAATACACCAAAAAAGGAGAAAAATCTGCTACATTAAAAATATTTAGGTTCCCTCTCACTGTAGAGTGCTACAGTGATGGAGACTGCCTTGGACTAGCCCTTTGTGTACTCGGGCCTAGTCAGCCATGGCCAGACCTCACAGCCCTCTCACTGGGATCAAGAAAACTCAGAAAGGTGTGTGCACTTGGCTATTTCTTTACTTCTCAGTGTTCCTTTTTTTTTTCCCCCAAGGGTTCTTAAAAATTCTTATTTTCCATTGACACACACATGACATTTGGGTTCCTACCACCTAAATCTTCAAACATTGTGAATTAAACAATTTTAATTAGAAAAGTCTGGTAAACTATTACGGCTGAAAAAGCAGTAAATCCCATATGACAAATTTTTAAATTCAGGAAATTAGTGCCTAATCCTTGACAGTATTTTACAAGACTTAGGGCTCTATAAAACACCTGATGGAAATGACTCTAGTGCTACAAAAGGAACTTTTACCTGATGGAATCTTTTAAGGTGGAGTATTAGGATAACTGGAACAGCAGAAATAAGCAACTGCTTCCTGGCATTAGTATAAATCCCTTCTGCTTTCTTTTCTGTATAAAATATAATAAATTTATTTGCAAGATTCCATTTCATACTAATGGAATCTACCACATAACATAGTCAACATTTATATAGAAGCATCATATCACATTTTTTTAAATATTAAAAAAGAAAACAGAATTAACTATTAATATGTGAAGCTATATGGATGAATCTCAAAGCATCAGGCTAAGTGGCAAAGAGGCCAGAGACAGAAGGCTATATATTATATGATTCCATTTTTTATGATATCCTGGAGAAGGCAAAACTATAGGGAGAAGAATCAGATTAGTGAGTGCAGGGATTAGGGAATGGGAGAGGAGATTAACTGCAAAGGAGCACAAAAAAACATTTTGGGGCAATGAAAATGTTTTATAGCTTGATGGTAGTTACAGGACTGAATGTGTTAGCAAAACTCATTAAACTGTACTAGTACACTTAAAATAAGTTTTATTGTATGCAAATTATATACTATGTGCAAATTCAGAAAACAAGATTTTTTAAAAGGAAATAAAAGAGAAATTAGACTTCTGGTTACAGGGTACCTCTACTCTTTCCAAAAACACTAAAATGAAAGATTTTTTTAAAAAGGCACTCCCTTATATGAACAAAGAACAGGTGAGGTGACACTTGCAACACAATTTTAGAAGCTGGAAAGAAGATGAACTAGTAGTGACTTAGGACAATGCCCTCCAGCCAAAGACCACCACAAACACACCTGCAGATGATAAAATAGGCTCAACGTGTATTGCGGTGAAAGAAGAGGTCATATCATCCCCATGGGGCATCCCCCCACTGGGGCATTCAGTAAGACCTGTGATAGGATTTAGAAAGGACTTGTGATAGGATTTGAATATGACCAATTGCATATTTAACTTGGGTTAATATAAACTGGTATTTCTTCCTTCTCCTATTTAGATATTTTCTTAATTACTAGTGTATTAAGCACATCTTTGTTCTGATGCTTTGACAACTGGGGCCTTGCTGCATTGGAAGGAGGGCCTCTCCCAGAGCTAATTGCTAGAGTTAGTGAATATTAAATGTGCCTTTCATATGCAAACCAACCAATCCAAAATACACACCCCAACTACCTCCTTTACCTAGCCTGCAATCCACTTGCCCTAATCATATCATGACCAAGTTCTAGACAACTAGCAACAGTCCCTAAAACCCAGAGCCCACTAAAATATTCAAAACTAGTCAGTCTTAAACCTGTTTATCAAACCTTGTCCACTCCTTCCCTTAGAAACCACAATAAAGTCGCTTGCCCTAGTTTCCCCGTGGCTGTCCCTGCCTCTTGCCCAACCCTGGTGCTTCCCCATGTGCCCTCTCTTCTTGGGAACTGTAAGAAACAAAGTATCCTCAGTGACAACCATATCCTGATTTTTTGGCCTCACAATTCCTGAATAAAAATAAAATCTATATTTTGAATGAAACTAGTCACCAGGAATGAGTATTCTCTCCATTTAGTCAAGGCTAGAGGTACACTGAAAATTTCTTGACAAGTCCCCCTTTTTCCCAGTCAACTAAATATAGATATTATCTTGCTAGTTTTATAATACACAATTATTTAAAACCTTCAAATTTATGTCTTACTAGAGGCTCAGTGCACAAAATTCGTGCTCAGAAGGGGGGGGGGTATCCCCTCAGGCCAGTCTGCACCCTCTCCAATTCAGGATCCCTCTCACAATCAGGGACCGCTGGCTCCTAACTACTCACCTGCCTGCCTGCCTGATCGCCCCTAACTCCTCTGCCTGCCGGCCTGATCACCCCTAACTGCTCTCCCCTGCCGACCTGATGCTCCTAACTGCTCCCCTGCCCACCTGATTGCCCCTAACTGCTCTCCCCTGCTGGCCTGATAGCTCCTAACCACCTGTGCCTTGGCCCCCGCCACCATGGCTTTGTCCAGAAGACGTCCGGTCTATCCGCTCTAATTAGCATATCACCCTTTTGTTAGTATAGATCGGTGGTTCTCAACCTTCCTAATGCTGCGACCCTTTAATACAGTTCCTCATGTTGTGGTGACCCCCAATTTCATTGTTACAAATTGAACATAATTAAAGTATAGTGATTAATCAAAAAAAATATGTAATTATATGTGTTTTCCAATGGTCTTAGGCAACCCCTGTGAAAGGGTCATTTGACCCCCAAAGGGGTCGCGACCCACAGGTTGAGAACTACTGGTATAGATTATGACTTCACTAGAGGCCAGGTGCATGGATTCGTGCACCGGTGGGGTCCCTCAGCCTGGCCTGCACCCTCTCGCAATCCAGGACCCCTCAGGGGATGTCAGACTACTGGTTTTGGCCTGATCCCTGCAGGCCAGGCCAAGGGACCCCACCAGTGCACAAATTTGTGCACCTCTAGTATGCATGTAAGACCTTTGGTTAATTTCTTCCTGCCCTCTCCCTCCCCCCTTCCCTCTGAGATTCATCAGTCTGTTCCATGTTTCCATGCCTGTGCATGGAGTGTTTGCTCCCTGGTGGTCAGTGCACATCATAGCTACCAGTTGAACAGTCGCTTAGGCTTTTATATATAGATAGATAGATAGATAGATAGATAGATAGATAGATAGATAGATAGATAGATATTAGATTAATGGGATTTGGGAAGCAAGTTAAGTTCATCGTTAATCTCATGATAAAATTTTAAGTTTTAGGGAAATTTCTTCTGGAAAGATTTCAGGAAGCTAGTCCACTGAAATAAGATTATGTGGATTTGCATTTTCAGGGCAGAGATGGATACTCCTGTTCTTTAATTTATTTCAACAGAAATCTATTGAACATTCATTCTGCCCAGTCAGTGTCTGCAGTGCTGAAGTACAAATATACAAATACGAAAAAGACAATCCCTGCCCTCAAGAAGCTCAAGTATAGAGACAGGTTCTTAGGTTCTTCTCTTTGGGATCTAATGCCAACTAGTCACTGGCTAACAGATAATCTGTGAATAAAAAATAAAGCTAAATATTTACCTGCAGAACTGGTTTCCCTTTGGTACTTCTGTTTCTTTTCAGTACAATTCTCACATAGAAGTTTGTTATTTCCCATTAATAACTCCATAGATGTAAACTGGTAGAGGCAAGACTGAATTGAGCATTCTTTAGAAGTAGTTATATAGCTCTGAGAAAGGGTCTGAAAAGCATTTTGTGGACTGTGAGACATCGTATGCTTCTCCTCTGAAAAATATAAATTATTTGAAAGACTTAGTGGCCGATTTTCTCCATCAAAATCTCTATCTCCAGTTACAGTGCTGCTTAAATGAAGTTCAGAAATAGCTTCAGCCACTCCTTCAACACCACTATCAGTCTTCTTGGTGGGCAGTTCTCTTGCTGATGGATGGTGATGTCCATTTGTGTGCACATAGCATCCACTACGGGATCTTGGCAACAGAGTTTGCTTAGAAGCACTTTCAGGTTCTGAAGCCTCACTGTCAGCATCAACACCACTTTCACAACGGCTGGCTTCCTTCTCACTACCATCGGTAGGGTTTTCAGCCAGATTCGATTCAGTATTCATGATGCTTGCAAATGCAGAAGAATCCCCATTCACTTCCATGTTTCCATTTTTCCGGTACATGTCAACAGTTTTATCTTCTCCAGATGAAAATTTCCTTGCACGTTTTCTGCCATGAATTAGCTGATTCTGTAAGTTGACAGTGTTTTTAGTGAAAAGAATCTTGTGACCTTACTAAAAATAAATACCAGTAATTAAATGTCCCACAATTATTAAATAAATACTCTAGTATTTCTCGTACACCTAAAACCCTTCCTAAATCTGCATAAACTATAACCAATAGAAGATATACTAACAAATAGTTCTAATATGAAAATAAATTTTACACAAGAAACCAACAACAGAAACCTATTTGCGGAGAGGAGGGCTTGTGTGAATAGCGCGGAGATTGAAGAGGCATGACAATCAACCGCACTCCATCGCTCTTTTTTAGATCTTGAATTCAAATAGACTTTAAAAAGCAAAACCAAAAAACAAGTATTTATGAGACAGTTGCAGAAATTTAAATAATGACTGGATACTGGTGCTGTTACAAAGTTATTAATATTTTAGGTAATGATAATGGTACTGTGGTTACGTATTTTAAAAGAGTATCTATTTGATCTACATACTGAAATATATGATATATTTGGGATTCATTACAAAATAATCTGGGGGGAGGTGGGGAGAATATAAGCTATAGATAAAAGCTGATTAGCCATGAGCTGATAACTATAAAGTTCAGCTATTTACATGGAAGTTTATCACACTATTTTCTCTACTTCTGAATATTTTTGAAATTTTTCATAATAATAAGTTTAAAAAAGAAGATGCCTCCCAAATACACATAGTCTTACCTTATCTTTAGATGGAGACTGCTTCCTGGTAGCTCTGGGTTGGTGAGTATTTTCTATAGTAACAGGGCCACTATATTGGCCATTCTGTGTCTCCTGTAAACTTCTATATTTATTGATTCTTCCCCAAAGTACAGGCTTTGAAACCTAAATAAATGACATGTACATAACACAAAACTTCTTTAGGAAATAAATTCTGGATGTAATCTACTTTTTAAAATTTCTAACTCATTTGAAATATAATTTCCTTAACTTTAACTCTCAAAATATAAAGCATAAGGATTTAAATTCCTTGAGAATAAGAATGATCTCATACTTTACGCATGCATACACAAATCCCAATATTAACTATACAAACTCAACTACTGTATATAAAAAATAATGATTCTCAGATCTGATAACATACTCAACAAATGTCTAAATAAAATGAATTCCCTTCACAAAACAATTAAGGTTTTTTTTCTCCTTACCCTTTCTTCTATAATAGGAAGTGAAATATCAATGAAAGGATCTTTCACCGTGGAGATCTTAAAAAAACAACAACACATATTGAGAACTTCAGGTAGAATTCTAATATAGACAATATAGTTTTGTAAAGGCTTAGAGGAATCAGACTTCCCAGGCAACTTAAAATTTTAAGTTAAAAAACATTCCTGGAACAAATAGCAATTTAATTGGGTAGAGCAGCATGACTTTTATCAAAACAAGATATCCCAAAACTTTAATAAATGCAACCCTGTTGAATTTTATGTTGTCAACATCATAATATCAATAATGTTTAAAGTAACTTTTAAATAAGATGTTTAATAATAATGATTAACTAAAGATATAAACATATTTTTGGTGAAATTAGTGCCATAACATAAAATATGAAAAAGGCAGAAAGTTTGTGTTTTGTAGATTCTTTAGGGTAATTCTAAAAGATACTCTCTAGCTTGTGAGAGAGAAATAAACTTTTATGTAGAATATACTACAGAAGTAATACTTTGACACAGTCCGTGCTTCAATGCTACAGATTAGGAGATACAATATATAATTCTGATGGAATAAGACTAGAGAAGATAGAAAAATACTCCATAATCGGGAACAGGAAAATGTACATAAAGACTCTCTCTTTTACAAGAAAATCTGACAAAAGTGTAAACCCATCAAACTCTAAGTTATCTGCTTTCAGAAGTATTCCTTATCAAGGAACCGAAAGCCTATAAAAATTTATATGTCTTTAAATTGTTGTTAAAGGACAGATGGCATTCCATTCCACCAAATAAAAAGTATCACTAATTGAAAGATGAGTCAAGTCTACTTAATAAAATAAACTTCAACAAGTCATATAAAAATAAACTTTAAATCAAATGTGCTAGATCACCCTGGGTTATGTTACTACATTAAATTATTTCCATTGGAATTACATTTTAGGCAATGCATAGTTACAAACATAGTTATTCTCTTCACAGAACTTTATTTTATTTCCATCTAAACAAGTAGCTTACACATTCAAACATATTAAAATGACCTAACAGAACTTCACAGGTTTCTTGGGAGGAAAATAAAATAACACACTTATTTTTAAAAATTATAGATTATGTTTACTTTCTAAGAGTGAAGGATATATTTTAGGAAGATTTTCAAAAACTATTATATGTAGTCATCTGTCACAAATAAAAGTAAATGACTGCTGAAGATTATATGTGAAAGAAAATAATCAAAATTCTGGGATTGTAATCTAGTCCATGCTGAAGTGAATTTCAAAGTACCTACATTTGCACATTCTTCACACATGAGGGTGCTAGTTAATTCACCAATAAAGATCCGATCTATGAAGTTCATTTTCACACCTTCGCTTCCATATGCTGTAAAAATAATACTTTTTAATGCAAAAAATGTCAACCATCAACCTTACATATTAACATAGTTTTTTTTTCTGTTGATTCAAAAGAAATCTAAGGCAGATGTCCAGTGCCCCATTTAATAATATATTCTCCTATATGACATTATAATGGCTCTCTCTTTTACAGTTCTGTAGAGAAAATGTAACTAGCAATGATAGTATTTCCAGAAATAACAAACTGCTTGTAAGAGGTAAAATAATAGGAGCAGTAACTACGACTCATACTACATCTCAACTGCTCCCATTAAATCTTTTAAAGCCTCTGTGCCTGACCCAGAGGTAGAGGGATGGGAAAGGAGATTATGCTTGAAGGGCTACAGATGCCACGATCCAACTATGGAAATGACCGAGTACAAAAGACAAGTAAACACAGGACAGTGTAAGAGATTAATACGACAATAAATAACTCGGTTACACGCATGACTGCTCAGTTATATTAAAACTGTCAGAATTACTTGTTTGAAAAATCTATAATAATAAAAGCGTAATATGCTAATTAGATCAGACGTCCTTCCGGACGACCTTCCAGATGAAGCTGGGGCTGTGAGGGAAGCCCAGGTCCCGGTGCCAGAGGCAAGCCGGTGCCAGCAGCCAGGGGGAAGGAAGGCCTATACTCTTGCACAAATTCCGTGCATCGGGCCTCTAGTATTTATATATCAAGGGAAATTATGCCTATAATTTGCTTCAAAATAATCTGGGGTTGGGAGAAAATAGATGAAACATAATACTCCAGGAAATGAATGTAAGAAATGGGGTAATGAGTACATGGATACATGGAACTTCATATACTACTCGCTCTACTTAATAGAAGTTTGACATTTTCCACAATAAACACTGGGGGAGAAATATATTTAAAAAATCTATTCATTTCTATCTTTTTTAGATCTCTGTCTTCTAAAACATTGTATTTTCTGCAATGAATGACAGAGCAGACATATTGGGCTATATAAAACATTTATTAATTATAATTGAGACATTATAGTACACTAAGATGTTTCATTAAGAAAAATTGTACAAGGGTTAATAGAAAAGATTACAAAACTGGAAAGAGATGAAAGAAAAACTGGGCAGTTATTCTAAACATGCTCTAGGTGGCACTATCTCAAAACAAAAGAGCATGCTTGAAAATCTACATTTAAAAAAACCTGAACCTTTAAAACTGCATATAAAATTTGGCATATATAATCACAACATATATTTGTTTATATAGATAGATAGGGTGTACATATACTACTATAAAAAATAAAAGTTAGAAAAGAGAATGAATAAAATACAAATCATATTTTAAGTGTCTTCTAAAAATGATGACTTTATACTACCATTAGTTAACATCTCAAGGCAGAATACACACTTAGGACATGGTAAATCACTAATAACACAGACTATAAATCCACACTTAAATACTTGTAAGTGACCACTTTGATTAGATAATCACTGTTTTTGCCTCACATTTTGGCTGAGGAAGAGAGAAGACTAGGAGTAAAGCAGACATGTGCACTTGACCTGTCAGTACTCTCGTCAATAAACGTTTCCTTGCAGGAGTCTTTGCAGCACTTAAGCATTGTCAAGTTAGAGTTAAATATCCATGAGTTCACTCATCCAAGCACACACCTCAACTGCAAAATAGTCCAATATGATAAAAGTGAACTTCCAAATAAGGATGCTACCTTCAACCACCTTTCAAGTCTCCCTTACAGCCTCCTATTAAGAGCAATAGTGTCAATCTGTATATGTGATATTACTTTTATTTTTTTAAATTCACATGGATAAATTCTAACGTTTTCTTTCTATGACCAACTAGACCAGCGGTTCTCAACCTGTGGGTCGCGACCCCTTTGGGGGTCAAACGACCCTTTCACAGGGGTCACCTAAATACATCCTGCATATCAGATATTTACATTACAGTTCATAACAGTAGCAAAATTACAGTTATGAAGTAGCAATGAAAATAATTTTATGGTTGGGGGTCACCACAACATGAGGAACTGTATTAAAGGGTCGCGGCATTAGGAAGGTTGAGAACCACTGGACTAGACTATCTTGCAGCCACTAGAATAAGTATCCCTTCATTTTAAGGCAACTATTTTACAACATTCATTCACATAATGCTCAGTTCTTTGTCCCTGTAAAGAAACTTTAAATATTTTCCTGTAGAATAAAATTTTAACAGTGTGTCAACATACCTTTGACTTTTTTCCTAGTTTCATCATCAGCAGTTTTAGTTGTTGGGTTGTTAAATGCTTTTAGAATGCTAGCTTGTATTCTCTATAAAACAAAGTTAATACGAATTTATAAAATCTGTTATTTTAAAGCAGTATTCTGTGTTCTTTTAAATATCATCTGTTTTAGTAACAGTTACCTCCAGCCTCATCTTAATAAGAGAAGGACTTTCAAAGAGCAAGGTACACTGGATCTCAGTCCCTAATTTATAAAATAAAATGACTGAATTTTTAAAAATTAAATCTAGTCCTAAAATTCCATGAACAAAAAATTTTCTTATTTGGGAGAGAATATGGAATTACAGTCAAAGTTCCTATGTCTAGGTTCTCTCTTGGGTTTGAAGGTGTTTCTTCCGTCTACAAAAAGCAAGCAGCCTCGTCTCATTATTCTTACAGGTTTAGAGTAACTTGTCCCTCTTTTCCCTTCTCTCCCCTTTTCTCTCCATTTGTTTCCCTCTCCCACTCTGTTCCTAAAAATGATGTATTCCTTAATCAGGACAAAATGTCACAAATAAACCATATGAAATGTCTTGTCTATGAAGAAAGCCGTATTATATAAGAAGCTCTTAAACTGGTCACATTGGCTTCCACACAGATTATTTTACTTATATAAATATATGACTCAAGTCCAGAATATCAATTAATGTCCTCAAAGTTTATGTTTTCACATCTCTTCCGTATGTTTTAGGAAAGATCCAACCTCACAGAAAACTTTTAGAATAAATTAAAACTATATATTCTAAAAATAAAAATGTATCTAAGCTAATGAATCATCTTTTACACTAATTATGTCCCTAATTAATGGATAAATTTAATCTTCTCTAATTCACATTTTAACAATGAGGTGAAAAGAATGTTTGTTCATTATTCTTCAAAATATTATTTTAAGTAATGTCTTAATCACAGGTTTTCATATGTGAAACTACTATTTGATCTGGACTTCCTGTCTAAGCTAAAGTTGACTTACCTATGAAAAAAATAATTTAACTAAAATAAACAAATTATAATGGTGTGAATTCCATGCAGGAGAAATATTTAATGCATATAAATGAAAGATTCCAATAAATACTAATGTTCACCTTTAACTATTTAATATAACTGTAAAAAGGCTCTCTAGTTACTAGAAATAGACCTCTAACTCAATTAGAAGTCTGTATATTTATTTTCCAATTTGAACATTTTATTAATTTAGATATGAATTTCAATGATTTAATGAGCTTTTACTATATTTTAAAATGTAAGCTATGATATTACTCTTTAAAATATAAAAAAGTATAAAAAATTAAGTTGATTAAATTAACTTTTTAAACTATTAGACTTGTTTTATTTTAATTGTATTATAGCCATAAATGTATATTCTCTGTTCTATACTGTTAAAGAGTTAATTAATAGGTAATTCATCAAGTTGAATAAAATAAATGAGTTTAGGTCCATCTACAACCTCTCATTGTTAGATCAGGGAGCTACTAACAACTGCAGCACATTAATCAACTAGCACTACCCAAGTTCAACTATCTAAGTCTCCATCTTAAACTTCTTTTAAAAATAAGAATGCAAAAAAACTCAGTTTAAGTTAGCTGAAGTATTGTGCCTTTAAAAAATCCTATCCAATAATGTATTAAAGTGATATATCTTTGAGAAGATAATAAAAATGTAACATTTCTTTAGTGATAGCTCAAATTAAAAGGGAAAAAGTGAAGCATATATATTTGTAAGTTGAAAAGACTGCTTATAAAAGTTCTTATAGTAAATCTGATTTTATTTGCACATAAAAAACTTATAATTTTTTGCACAAATGATCCTTTTAGTGCTCCATTCAATAAGAGCATATTATAGTCCTGAACTTTATAGTTGTAAAAGACTTTGATGAAACAATATGAAAGGAGATCAGTAGTTTGTAATCATTACTAAAAGATTCTGGTGGCAGACCTAATGGTGTAGCCTTTCTTCAATCAAAAAACACATGGCAGTGGCAAACGACAACAGCAACACAACTAACAGCTGTGGGTTCCCAGGCCAGACAATGCAGCTCCCGCCTGGGTACCACTGTAACAGACTGGCCTTGCTCACAGGACTGAGCAGATACACACACTTGACATTTTAATTTTGCCACGCCATCTAAAACCCTCACAGAGAGGAAGAAAGATAAGAGCTTTCAAAAACCAATGCTTCTTGCTACACTGCCTGAGTTTTTAAGATACTGTGAATCCCAATGTACCATTATGACAGAACAGTAATTTAATTTGAAACAAAGAATGCCATCCTATATAGTAAAAGCCTAATATGCAAATTGTCCCCTCGGGTGGTTGTTCGACCGGGAGTTCAACCACTCGCTATGATGTGCACTGACCACCACGGGAGTGGGACCAAGGTGGGATGGTGGAGCAGATGAGTGGGCAGCATCAGGCCAAGGCGGGTGTGAGCAGAGGTCCGGTGGGACTTGCCCTTCCACACCAGACGCTTGCGCTTTGATCGTCGGCCAGGCCCAGGGACTGCACCCAGGCACAAATTTCATGCACTGGGCCTCTAGTCAAGTAATAGAAGGGAAATAGAATAAATGATAGGGATAGATTTTGTTGTTTTATTTGTGATAACGACAGAGAAAAACAATGTAAAGACATAAATTTTAATTCCATTTACAATGATTCATAACCATCATGTAGTAAACATTCCCAGCTATATCCCCCTTCACCTGGATTCTTAGATCCCTTTTCTTTATTTAAGCTAGTTTTAGTTGATTTCTGTTAATTATAGCCAAAGAACATTAACTAATAAAGAACAGGGGTTGTGACAGAGTAAAAGAAAATAATCTTGTAAAAGAGATAAAAAAAAAAAAGAGCGAGAGAGAAGAAATAGAATAGTGAGGAAAAAAAATCAAGTTAACTTCCTAACCGCTCATAAAAATTATGGTAGAAATGAAACCCTTCAGTTTTGAACCCTCTTCTTAAAGAGCATATGTGATAAACATGAAGAGACCTGACCTTTGTTTCTTCAGTCCTCACTGAGTCCAACAGATAATGCAGGAGCTCCTGACTGTCCTGTTGCTGAAAATCTTTAAATCGAGGGGCCCTTTGATTTAAAAACAGCAGGAGAGGAAAAAAGATAATTTCATCAACAATATATTATTAATATTTAAATCACTTTATAAAAACATATAGTCAAAGATTCAATTTACTTCTTTTTGTACTAAGTCAAAATGTGATTCCTGTTCCAATTAGGAAGAGACCTTAAGTGTACTGAGAACAATATGGCTATCATTTATAGGGCAACTACTACATGCCAACCACATATGTGTTTCACATACTCACAACTATAAACCTACTTTTCCCCCACCCTGTATACAAATATGTAAAATCAAATCAGTTATATCCACATGTACTATATAGAGAGATGTACAAAACACAGTAAGCAAAACAAGGAAGTTGCAATTTTTATGTCGGTATGTGCATAATGACTTTTAAAATAAAAAAACATACTAATAATTTGAATTTTTATCTATGAGCATCTATTATTTTAATAATAATTTATTAATAATTTATAAATCTTTATAAAATTAGAAAAATGATGCCGAAACCGGTTTGGCTCAGTGGATAGAGCGTCGGCCTGTGGACTGAAGGGTCCCAGGTTCGATTCCGGTCAAGGGCATGTACCTGGGTTGTCGGCACATCCCCAGTGGGAGATGTGCAGGAGGCAGCTGATCGATGTTTCTCTCTCATCGATGTTTCTAACTCTCTATCTCTCTCCCTTCCTCTCTGTAAAAAATCAATAAAATATATTAAAAAAAAAAAAAAAGAAAAAGAAAAATGATACAAAACACAGTTATTTTGGATAGAGTCTAAAACAAATTTCTAGAGTACATATATCCTAACAATTTCTTAATTTTATGGGGCACCTATGTTTCTGAGGCTTTTCAGGGATCTTTTTGTTCCTCAGCCTTTAAAAAAAAACAGCATTTGCCGAGCAAATGAAACATACAATACACCCTCTATATTTTAGACTACATTTAATATGATGGCACATTATACTAAGTGAAATAAGCCAGTCACAGAAAGACAGGTACTGCATGACTCCATTTATATGAAGAATCTAAAATACTCAAATGCATAGAATCAAAGGATGGAATGAATGATAGTTGTGAGGGGCTGGAGTGAGGTGCAAAGGTGGAGTTGGTAATAAATAGGCATAAGGTTTCAGTCGAGCAAGATGAATAAGCCCTAGAGAGCTGCTGTACAACATTGTACCTATAGTCAACAATATATTATACACAAAAACATTTTATTTTTTAAAAAATATATTTTTATTAATTTCAGAGAGGAAGGGAGAGGGAGAGAGAGATAGAAACAACAATGATGAGAGAGAACCATTGATCAGCTGCATCCTGCACACCCCTTACTGGGGATGGAGCCGCAACCCAGGCATGTGCCCTTGACCGGAATCGAACCCAGGACCTTTGAATCCTCAGGCCGATGCTCTATCCACTGAGCAAAACCAGCTAGGGCTACACAAAAACATTTTAAGAGGGTAGAGTTTGTGTTGTATTCTTTACACAATACATTTTTTAGAAACAAATTATATTGGTACACTACTATGAGACAAAATATAATAAAACACAATACCATGACACAAATAACGAGCTTAAATTAAAATGAAACTTTAAAGAGTGTAGATATAAAAAAAAGCAAGTTCATGTTTAAAGAATTTTGTTTCTACATATTTTAGTTCATTGTGGACTAAACTAGTTTATGGCTCTATTACAAGGCCCGTTTTAAACACATGACACGTTGTGTACCTGAATTCTAGCAAGTACTGACAACAGAGTAAGCTCTCAATTTTCTAGATGTAGGAATAAGTACATACATTAAAGTTAAGTCACGACCTTTATAGTATGTGTTTATTTCCACACTCAAATATTGTGTGTGTGTGTGAGTGTGTCAGTGTGTGTGTCAGTGTGTCAGTGTGTGCGTGTGTGCGTGTGTGTGTGTGTATATATATATATATATACACATACACAAACTAGAGGCCTTCATGCACTGGTGGGGTCCCTCGGCCTGGCCTGCGGGGATCGGTGAACCTCCCTGTCACCACAGCCTGGCCTTACCCACCAACTCATCAGGCTCCAGCCCCCTCATTGGGCTCCAGCCCGCTGTCCGCATTGATCCTGCACAGCATGAAGTAGTGCGCGAAGCAGCAGGCAGCCAGGGAGGAGCCCCAGCTGGGCGCCACGCTGCTCCCACTCAACCCAGCCCTACGGTGGCAGCAGCCGCTGGGATGTGCAGGGGGAATGTCCAGGAGAGGCTCGGTGTCTGGTGTCCATTTATCAGCTGAGCAGCACTTCCACTGTGGGAGCGCACTGACCACCAGGGGGCAGCTCCTACATTGAGCATCTTCCCCCCTGGTGGTCAGTGCACATCAAAGTGACTGGTTGTTCTGGTCATTCCACCATAATGGTCGCTTAGGCTTTTATTATATAGATCAGGGGTGGGCAAACTTTTTGACTCGAGGGCCACAATGGGTTCTTAAACTGGACCGGAGGGCCGGAACAAAAGCATGGATGGAGTGTTTGTGTGAACTAATATAAATTCAAAGTAAACATCATTACATAAAAGGCTACGGTCTTTTTTTTCAATAGTTTTATTCATTTCAAACGGGCCGGATCCGGCCCGCGGGCGTAGTTTGCCCATGGCTGATATAGATACTAGAGGCCTGGTGCATGAATTCACGCACCGGTGGGGTCCCTCGGCCTGGCCTGTGCCCTCTTGCAATCCGGGACCCCTCAGGGGATGTCGGACTGCCGGTTTTGGCCAGATCCCCACAGGCCAGGCCGAGGGACCCCACCGGTGCACAAATCCGGGCACCGGGCCTCTAGTATGCATACAAGGTCTTTGGTTAATCTCTTCCCGCCCTCCCCCCTTCCCCCTTCCCTCCGAAATTCATCAGTCTGTTCCATGTTTCCATGCCTGTGCATTGGGCGTCTGCCCCCTGGTGGTCAGTGCGCATCATAGCTACTGGTCGAACAGTTGTTGTTCAGTTGCTTAGGCTTGTATATATACAGATATTTTTTATTTTTATTGTTTCCAAGAGGATGTGAGAGGGAGAGAAAGATAGAAATATCAATGATGAGAGAGAATCATTGATCGGCTGTCTCCTACACGTCCCCTCCTGGGGATCAAGCCAGCAACCCTGGCATGTGCCCTTGACTGGAATCAAACCAGGGACCCTTCAGTCCACAGGCCGACGCTCTACCCACTGAACCAAACCAGTTAGGGCCTAAATATATTTTTATTGATTGATTTCAAGAGGAAGGGAGAATGAGAAATATCAATGATGAGAGAGAATCACTGATCTGCTGCCTCCTGCAGGATCGAGCCAACCTGGGCATGTGCCCTGAAAGGGAATCGAGCCATGACCTTCTGGTTCGTAGATTGAGGCTCAACCACTGAGCCATGCCAGCCGGGCAAATATTTTGTTTTTAAACATTTCATAACATCTTGAGAAATTCACTTAAACTCTATTTGCCTCAAAGCTCATCTTTTAAAATAAAGAAACTAGGTTAGATATCTATTATAGCACCTTTTAAGATCTTACAATTCTATAATTTTCATACTTTATTGTGTTACATGATGAGCTTTTAATTTTTTAAATAAAATATTTATTGTTGAGAGTATTACAGATGTCCCCCTTTACCCCCCCCCATTGCCACTTCCATCCGATTCCCACCCTGTTCAAGGCCTTCACCACCCTACTGTCTGTGTATAATGCATAATCATGGGCTTCTGAGTTAGAACAGACCTCTATGTGAATCCTGGTTTTGTCACTATGAAATGGGGTAAAGTACTCAACTGCTATGAGTCTCAGTTTCCTTATACATAAAATGGGGATAAACAATCACTTCTTCAGAGTTTTATAAGATATAATTTCCCTGCCCGGCCAGCTGGCTCAGTGGTTGAGCATCAACTTATGAACCAGGAGGTCATGGTTCGATTCCAGGTCAGGGCACATGCCCAGGTTGCGGGCTCAATCCCCAGTGTGGGGTGTGCAGGAGGCGGCCAATCAATTATTCTATGTCACTCTCCCTCTCTGAAATCAATTAAAAAAAAATATATATATATATATATATATATATATATATATATATATATATATATATATATTTTAAAATGATATAATTTTCATAGACCACAGAGCTGCAGCTAAACAATGTTAATTCCTCCTCTTGGTATCCAGGCAGTAATAGCAATGTTACAGTAAGACTGAAAGTACTCATATTAAGTATAAACACAATAGCATTTTGTAACTCATGATTACTTATATTAATAATGTAGGTGCACTCACTTTTGACAAAGCTGATTGAAGAGAGCTTTAGGAGACAGCGATCCTTTGTCAGTTTCCTTCATGCTGTGAAGAAACAGGACCAAGGCTGAGGTCAATGGTCCAGGGCTTGAAAGTTCCACCATTAATGGATCCTTTAAAAACAAGATCAACTCTATGTCAGAAATATATATTATTTTAAATCAAACAGTTCTAGTTCGTTTCAGTGATGATAACTAAATTCCTTCAACTGTATTAAGAAACTTTAATACCTCATATATAAAAATATAAAAATGAAAATTAGAATTAAATGCTTTATCTTGAAAAACACAGGTATTCTCATATCATCTGCCCTTTACTAGTACTTAATAAAACTATTAGCTTAAGAATGAAATCACCAATTTTTAGTTGCTTATAACTGTCCCTTAATGTGCTCTCCTAAAAGTAAAATTCTTCATCTACTTGATATTTGTACATTTTCACAAATAATCATAAATTATATTTATATTAGCAAAACTCCATACCCTTCTTTCCCCCAAATATTTTACTGCTAAATAAGGAATGGGGGGACCTGGTATACCATCTCTCTCTCTTTTAAAAGGGAGAGACAGCCCTAACCAGATTGGCTCAGTGGATAGAGCGTCAGCCTGTAGACTCAAGGGTCCCAGGTTCAATTCCGGTCAAGGGCATGTACCTTGGTTGCGGGCACATCCCCAGTGGGGAGTGTGCAGGAGGCAGCTTATCGATGTTTCTCTCTCATTGATGTTTCTGGCTCTCTATCCCTCTCCCTTCCTCTCTGTAAAAAATTAATAAAATATATTTAAAAAAATAAAAAATAAAAAAAAAATAAAGGGGAGAGACAAAAAGCTGGGCAAAAGTAGCTTAAATTGGTGAAGGATCAATGCACTTTATTCTAGAATTTCTATTCCATCACATTTTGTTTTCTAAAATGTTATTTTCCCCAGTAATACCCCTCTCCTTATGCATAATGAGTAAAAATGCAGATCCCAAATATAATCCTCGAACATTATAGTATGTTATCTTCTAGGATAACTGCAACCTGTGTATGTGCCCTGGCCTGGAACTGAACCACCCTTTTTGGTGCATGGGGACGGGATGACACTCTAACCAGCCGAGCCATACTGGCTAGGGCTCACCTCACTTTAGAAGAGGGCATTGGGATCTACCATAAAAATGTTAAGGGGCTAAACAGGCAATGAATTTATAGTCTGCTTTTTCAATAATATTGTCTTTCAAAACTGTCTCCTTGGAAGAAAAAATCTAAGATTACTACAGTGGGCTAAGAAATTCTAGAAGAACTCTTTCTTAAGTATTTTTGAAAACCAGATCATGAGCTATTCATACACTCTTTCTTCTTCTAAAACACACACACACACACACACACACACACACACACACACACACACATCAATTTCTAACTATAATCATTATTACTAATGTTAATGCTCTCCAGCCAAAGCCCACCAGGAACACACCTGCAGTTGAACAAGGTGGGTTTACTGCTTGATGCACTGAGGGAGAACACGAACCATGGGGAACCATGGCGTGTCTTAATGAGAGAATATTTGAAAGAACCAATATAGGATTGGGGCTCTAGTTGGGTAATTCAGCAGGGAGGCTAAGCAAGCAGAGGTCTGCTCTTGCTTGGACAGTGTCAGAAAGTGGGGGTAATTCTATGATTAGGTATCTCAATAAATCTTATATGTGGGTGTGTGTGGGGAGATGAGAATGAAGATAAACTAATAAAGAAATAGCACTCAGAAGGCCTGGGGGGGGGGGAATGCAGGGTGGAGGGGGTCAATGGGAAGAAAACAAAGGGGACATCTGTAATACTTTTAGCAATAAAGATAAATTGAAAAAAAGGAAAAGAAACAGCATTCATTCATTTTGGCCAACAGACAGATTGTATAGAATTTTCTTTTCTTTTTTTAAAAATTTATTTATTTAATTTTTTTTTTTATTGCTTAAAGTATTACAAAGAGTATTACATATGTCTCCTTGTTTAGAATTTTCTAAGTGATAGAGCAACCTGGTTATTTGAAATCATGAAGTGACCTTGCTTTGCCTCATTTATTAGACTGAAAGTAGCCTGGCCTGGGGTTGGTATTCTGTGAATTGTTTGAATAACATGGCCTAACTGCGGGTGCCAGGCCAGCTGCTGGATGTCAGAGGTTGCTTTTTCCCTCCTCATTAGCTTAAAAACCTATGATCAGATTAGGCTTCAAAAAAACCTTTAGATGTTCACTATTAAAGTTAATCTACCTTTAAAGAACAAAAATGCTATATTTAAGCAAATGTCACCAGTAACTACAAAACAGGAGCCCTAGACATTTTACTCAACAAAAGTCAAACTCTCTGCTCTGGCTGACGTGGCTCAGTTAATTTAGGGTCACTCCGAAAGGACGCTGGTTCATCTCAAAAGAGCTCTTATCCAGATAGTTACATTTCTTACCATCTGAGAGTCTGAGGAAGGGAAAATCTTGAGTATTGTACCATTTTCTTTGATCTCATTCATCAGTTCAATAAGAATATAAGACTGTGCCAAGTTCTAAAAGAAAACAAAAGTCTTCTGATTCAGGTATGCTATGCCTCTGATTTTATGGAATAAATTACAGTACTCTAAGTTTCAAATTTCATCTTGCATAGGAAATGTTTTTTAACTTTAAAAAATTTATTGAGTACATTTTACATTTAATAAATGTCATAGTTACTGATAGAGCCATGGTAAAATACAGAGAAGATATTTAAGAAGCACTATGGAAAAAGAAGGTTTATACATGTGTATGACGATGGCTAAAAATAGCCTAAAACAAACGAAAAGAAAACAAATTTCTAGATGAATATTTAGTAGTCATTTGACAGACTACAGGTGTGCAAACAAATATAAATTAATTAAAATGATCTTCGACATTTTACAAAGCTTTCGGATGCCTCTTACCTGCATAACTGCATTAAAAAAGCAAGTATTTCCTAAATTCGTAATTCCTTTCACAGATGTTACACTGTTGCCTTTTTTTCCCTTCTTTTTTTCATCTGTTTCATGTTTTTCTTCACAAAGTTTTATAATTCTAGAAAATGCATCTAAGTGAGAAAAAACATAACTGACATGAAATGTAAAATTAAGTACATATCATTTAACATCATTTAAATACATTATTTGACATTAAATAAGCTGTTTCCCCTGAATCAGTACTCCTGAAGGACAGGAATACAAATAACTGTCTTGAGTTTTGTATCTTACTGCTAAAGCACTTCATTTTAATTCATGTTAATTTACACATCTGTACCTCACACCGCATTGCAGATTAAACTCCAGATTAATTGAAAAATTAAACATAAATGAGTAAAGTTAAAAAATGAGTACAAAAGATCCAGATCTTGGGTTTCTAAATACCATCCCTTACTAAAAGAAATGTACACTCCTTGAAGGAAAGGCTGATTCTTAACCTGGGGCAGCAAAGAGGCCAAATGAGCCTATCACATTATTGTTGTGCCAAAAACTAAGGAAGTGCTCCCAAAAAAGTGGTGAATATGTCAAAATACACAGGTGCCACTTCTAATAGGTTCCCACAGGTCCAATATGGTACAGATTGAATATAAAACTAAAAAAGGGCACTAGCAGATTATTATTCACTGAATAAAATGAAAGTGATTCTGAATTGATAATAAATTTTAAAATGGGGATGAAAGGGAGAAAATTTCCTTACAAGAGAATGTCGACTAATAAACAAAAGAAATTATAAAATTAGAAAATCCCTATACAATGGCAATTTTTTTGGTATTCTTGCAACTTTTCTATATTTAAAAATGCCAAATAAAAAGTTAAAAGTTAACAGAATTATATATAAAAGCTAAAATACCTAAGTGTATAGTACATTGAGTGTATGTTTTGTGTTTACTAACTTGTATAATTAATGCAAATTTGAAAATTATAGTATATGTTTAATAACAATATGAAGATGAAGAACAATTCTTAACACTCATGAACTAACACAATTATACCTATTTAACAGATTATTTTCTGAATCATTATTATTTGAAGTTTGACAGGAAAGTCCCAGGTTCTCAAATCTTTTGGTTTCAACCGAATGTTCTTTTAAATCCCTTTTAACCCTCAGATTGTGTAGTTCTTTACAATTATATACAGTATTTTACTCATCTAATACTGACATGCTGCCTTGCATTGCCATTAACTGCTAAATGCTTGGCTGTTTGACCCTATAATCAGATGAATGCTCCTTCTTCCACAGGGGTGTGATGTTGGGGAGAACATACATAATAAAAAGTCAATATAAATGAAAAACTACAAGATTAAACAGCAAATAGAGTAGACTTGTTGCCTTCCATGTCTCTGATGAGCTCCCCACCCTGCCATCTGTACAGAAGCATCACGGGGATGAACAGAGGTGGAGGTGGCCCTGTTCTCAGGACAGGGGCAAGAAAACACCATAAAGAGAAACTTTGGTCTTGGCTGCTGGCAGAGTGATGTCACCCACATGCTATTGGTTCAAAGCTTGACTTGGCACCTTTGACTTTTGGCCCCCACCCCCAAAAAATCAACAGATGGGGCTCCAGTATCAATCAAGTGAGGTTATTAACACATTTTCTCACGGACTTTTCATAAGGATTAAATGAGCTGCTATTTGCAAAGTAGTTGGCATGGTAAGCACTGTGTGTGTGAAAAACAGTCCAGCAAGCCACCAAAAATTATTTGTGCCAGAATCCATATCTTCGTGAGTTATTCTTCATGTCTACTGCTGATCTGCTCTCACTTTTTTTCTTCTCTTTAATCATTCCCTGTACTTTCTGAATTTTTCCCCCTCAAGTTTCTCTCTTATTTCTGATTGGATTTTCTGAATTGCTAATACAAGTTTTGCCTTTGGTTTTCATAATTTCTTGGTTTTTCTTTTGAACATGTGAAAATATCTCATTGAGAAAAAATGTATTGGTGGCTTCTAAGATGTTTCTATCATTAAGCAAATTGATTGCATGGAAAAGATTTTTCATTCCAATTTAATTCTTATTACTTATTGTACTATCTGGAGGGCAGGAGAAGAGATCTTTCTTGTTCTTCACTGTGTTAAGAACACAGAGCTTAGCAGCAAAGGCGGGTACAATTAGTGGAGGTCACTGAAATGCGGAGGCCAGGCATGGAGAAAAGAGGCAGCAAGAGAAAGCCAGACAGTCTTCAAACTTGCAAGTGACAAATGCCAGTCAGTGCTTAGGAAGCATTACACAAACAAGAAGCCCCATAGTGATCCTGGCTGGGTTTGTAAACAAGAGCAGCCCACCTCTTCATTATTTTATCTGAGATTCCAACTGGAGGCTGGAATCGGCAGGTTTCAGGTTCTCACCATAGCTATTGCCACTAGATGGTTTCATAGTGATTTGTAAGAGATTTAAGATGAAAGAATAATTAAATCCAAGCATTAGTCCATTTTTGGGGGGTATGAGGTTGTTCTCTGATTTTATATTTACAAAACTCAGTCTCCAACAGGTTAAGTGATTTGCCCACAATCATAATGGTACCCTTTTCATTATAAATTCATTGTCATTTACCAACTGATTTCTCTTCGGTGATTTATGTACAATGAGAAGAATTATAAAAGATAGTAGGACAACATTCTTACAAATCTGGGTATATGCAACCCTGAACAAATTTGGCTCTTCAAAAGTATTTCCTTTAGTTAACAATCTTAATAAATGTTGCCATATTTTTTAGCTTATTAACATAAAAACAGAGTGATTAGGGGATCTAAACTATATTGATTATATTAACTATATATAAATATATTACATATTTAACACACATTTCTTTTTTTTTTTATTGCTTAAAGTAATACAAAGGGTATTACATATGTGTCCATATAACACACATTTCTTATTCATTTGGGAAAATACTTCCAGAAATTATATTTTAATCTTATAAAAACATATCGCATTTTTAAACCATAACATGCAAATTACTTATATATCTGTGTACTATATTTGCCCATTAGATTTCAAAACATCTGGGATAACATCCTAAAGTAAACAATGTTCATAAGACCATCTGGACAAAACTGCAGGCAAAAAAAAAAAGCATAAACATATGGAAAAACAGATTTTACCCTTCCCTTCAGCAGTAAGGGATGACAAATGTCGAACCTAGATATATCCACGCTTCACTGTGTGATGCTTTTCAGCACCACCTGGCTCTCCATGCAGGGCCACCGAATATGGACACCACTGCCAGAGAGAACATATCCACAGGGCGATGGCAATACAAATAGTTTACTTCATGGTTAAATAGCTACTTCACACAAGTGGCAAGGATCTATTTGTTGACTTTTACATATAAGTCTGTGAGAACATATTCAAAATTAATTATGCCACTGAACTTGAATATTAAATAGATCAGATAATTTATTTATTTTTTATTTTATTTTTTTTATATATTTTATTGATTTTTTACAGAGAGGAAGGGAGAGAGATAGTTAGAAACATCGATGAGAGAGAAATATCGATCAGCTGCCTCCTGCACATCTCCTACTGGGGATGTGCCCGCAACCCAGGTACATGCCCTTGACCGGAATCGAACCTGGGACCTTTCAGTCCGCAGGCCGACGCTCTATCCACTGAGCCAAACCGGTTTCGGCTAGATCAGATAATTTAATGAGAAAATAAAATGACATTTTCTAATAACTACTTACATTTGTTTTATCTAAAGCCCAAGTTTTTCATTTTACTAAATAAATAGCACATTTATAAAATGTAACAATTCAAACTCAATTGATTTAACAAATGTCCACTGAACCACTACCTATAAATACTGCTTAGGATTTATGGCTACAGTATAAGGAATTGGTGCATAGTGAACAGCACAGAGACAGTAAGCCTTAAACGCATGAGAATATCTTAAGAAAACTTTAGAAACTAAGCATACATGTACATTTCCTCACTAAGAAACTGTCAACTTGAAAGTTTAAGATTCTAGATTACAACTAGGGTGTCTGAGAATCAGTCTCTCAATTATCTGACATACAAACAAGTATGTTTTTTAAAAAATATATTTTATTGATTTTTTACAGAGAGGAAGGGAGAGAGATAGTTAGAAACATTGATGAGAGAGAAACATCGATCAGCTGCCTCCTGCACATCTCCTTTTGGGGATGTGCCCGCAACCCAGGTACATGCCCTTGACCGGAATCGAACCTGGGAACTTTCAGTCCGCAGGCCGACGCTCTATCCACTGAGCCAAACCGGTTTCGGCCAAACAAGTATGTTTTAATAAAAACCAATTTATTACTTCTACTAAAGAATGATTACTGATCATTTTGTTTTGAGAGACAACAAAGCTTTCTCAATCTAGCAGTGATTCTAGATCTTATTCACTTTAAGAACTCTTTCTTCATAAACACAGAGCCAAATGCACCAAGGACTGAACTTCAAAATGTTTTAAAGTATAGCATAATTAAAAGGACAAAGCTGCAACAGCATTAAAAAAAAAAAGACAAATTGCCGAAACCGGTTTGGCTCAGTGGATAGAGCGTCGGCTTGCGGACTGAAAGGTCCCAGGTTCGATTCCGGTCAAGGGCATGTACCTGGGTTGCGGGCACATCCCCAGTAGGAGATGTGCAGGAGGCAGCTGATCGATGTTTCTCTCTCATCAATGTTTCTAACTCTCTATCTCTCTCCCTTCCTCTCTGTAAAAAATCAATAAAATATATTTTAAAAAAAAGACAAATTATACAAAATTCTGATTATCATTCGTTTTGTTCTCAAGTTTTACCTGAACTCATGACATAGCTATGATTAGAAAGAATTTCAGGATTAGAAGATTATTTTATTAAAAGGGATTTACTCTATCTCACCTCTATATTACCAACACTGTCATCAAATACTACACGTGTGTAGTCTACTAACATAGACACCAGAATGTAAAGAACATTGAGAAAACTTCAGGCATTCTAGATAAAAATTTTAAAGCTCTTTTATGTCTCTGCAGTTTACCTTTAAGCCTATAATCTGAGTACTCAGAGCTGCTAGTTGATTGAGTAACCTGCTAAGGTTTTATACATACTCAGGTCTTGCAAGAAAAG